CTTTAATCCACTCTCATAAAAATGTGGAACAGGAATTTTTACAAATCAGGAAAATCATATATCTGTCAGATATTTGAATATTGTTTATATAAAAGCTAGTCTATAAAGCAATAAATATCCGGTCGCTGATGTTGTCCTCCCCTTTATTTTGGTATTTTAGGGTGGTCTGTAATGCATTATTTGTCTACTACTCTTCATTGAAACATCGTATTTTCATTGGGCACACCAAAGGTGACATTCTAAATACTGACCATAACATAGATCACATCTTCACTTAAAGGAACACTTTACCACCGAGTCTGGGCACTAGAGATCGTTCTAAATGGGCGCATATTGGTCCTTATGAATAGCACCAGACGTTTAAATAATTTTGCCAAATGTTAATTACATATTCATCGATTTTCGTGTTTGTATTCTCACTATCAAATATCCAAAGCTCGCCGATTTGCATTGTCATTAGTCAGCGTTATATACACAATTAAAAAGGAAAACTATGAAATTTAATTTATAACTTCATTACTGACTTAGCACTTTAACTTATACCATGGACAATAACTATATTCGTCATGTTTAGTGCCATTCCAACAAGATGTGTCATATAAATAGCTGGACCATTGAGAAGTTCTATGATATGGCAGTCTTTTAACTAGTACACATGCTTTTTTGTTTATTTACTTTGGTTAAATATTTTTGCCAAACGTAAATACATACAAAGGCATTTTTTGAAGTCTTTAAGATTAAATCTGAGGTAGTATGAACATTTTCTATTAGGCTTCTACAATGAAATACAAGCTGCAGATTAAGTACTTATATCTATATTTCACGTACAATGTACAATACTGGTGTTATACACGTTGATGAAAATTATGGAGAAGTTCCTAATGATCGCATTGAGGAATAATCTTCTACTTTATGCGATTCGAAACTTGGCGTGTTTAATGCTCCTTAGGTTGCCCTGATGGTTCCATTGTTGCATTTGAGAACAGGACATACATTGCAGGTGTTGTCGATGAACCAAATGAAGCTTGTTATTCCGGAATACCAGGTCTTATTCTCCCTATACCTTATTGTGTAAATAATTCCTTTGTTCATATTTTGCCCAAATTTTATTGAATTTGAGAATGGATTATGATTATGTTCATACGTTGGTATTTTCTTGTTGTGTTTATAAATACCTCCACGAACATGACATTACTTACATGGATTCACTAAGATTTACATGGCGAATGTCCTCGATAAAACGGAAGAGGCTTACTCTGCCGTAACGTCTGGTCTTATTCCTTGTATTTTCCCCCGCAATGTCTGTTAATCTTTCTTTTGTTCATATTTTCATTAGATTAAGAATGAGTCTTGATTGTAATTATGTTGACATCTGAATTATTTTCTTTTTTGTTTTTGTTTGGTATGCATGGTTTGTAGAAAGAGAAAATTACATTTGAAGCACATCATGATATCGATATACAGGAAAGTATTACAGTTTCCCGTCATTAGCGTGTAGCCGTTAACGTACCTAGCTCCAACTGAGATGGGATTATTCATTCATTAATAAATTATTTAGAATTAATAACCACAACTCTAGATTAAAACCTGCATATATTTTGTACATTGATTTATCATGGATTGCTTTCATTACGAAACTTTGAATTGAGGTTTCTTTTACAAGACAATTATTATCTACTTATCCGTCAAAACTTACACGTATAATTACGTGAGAAAATATCAAGGTGCTGTTACTAAATCTTTTCATTCATTTGCATAAAATTTCCCATTTCAATATATGTGCGCTTTTAGGTAACATGGAAGGATTTTAATAAGGATTGATGATAATTTATATGACATGTAACACGTTTATGCGATGTGCGGAATACTGATGTCTTTATTTAATAGATGAGTTCAGCTATTGATTTATAAAATGTCATTTAATTATATATTATTTGCATTTCCCAATAGGACTTAAAATGTAAAATTGAAACAATGAAATGTTCATAGGGTAACCGACACGAAAAGTTGACAGAGTGGGATAAAAAAAACCTGATAGAATTCATCATTTATACTGCAAGGACACAAAAATATGAAAGTTTTACAGTCGAATTATTTATAACTTATGTTTAATTAATTTTTCATATCCTGAAGCGTCGAAGGTGTATAATAGGTGAACATTTCACACAGAAATCCTGTAAATGATTAATCTTTTATCGAAATTGCATTGTTTCACAACTGTTTTATGGTCGTTCATTTCACTGGAAAAAACATGTAATCAATCATTTATTAAAGGTTCTTCCTACAAATTTAATGCTGACGTCATCAATTGTGTCATCACGTCAATGCAGCCACAGGAAAACCCCATTATTGACCACTCTATTTGTCTCAAGTGCAAAGATGTGGTAAATATTTTTAAATGAGGGGATTGGATACCGTGACATAGTATATAAATAATATCTAGACTTGTATAGTGTAACAGAACACACAAGCAGCTATCGAGATTGATCACTAAGGTACAGATGAATAATTTCTCTAAAGAATACAAATGTTTAACTATAAATATCATAAAAGTAGTTTTAATTTTATTGTGTAAAAAAGAGTTTTGACATGATATATTGACAGGAAAGTGTCATGCAGATTTTTTTAAACAGATAGATAGTGTATGATGTTTGCAGGACAGACGAATGTTATTATTTGTTTTTTTGTTTTGCTTATTGCATTGATTTTATTTCAGTTATATATATGTACAGTATATTTTTCTTTGCAGATAATAACTTTTAAATATTTGGTATATACACTATTATTTTGCATTCGATTAGGTAAAACTAAGACATAAAAAGAGTGTAGTACATGTGATATGCACTAACAAAAAAATCAGAAGGTTTGCACATGAGGCACAAATATCGCTTTAAATCCTCTGACAAATAGTATCTCGGTTCATGGGGTACAGCAAATCGAATCAAATACTCTGATAAATACGGTGCAGGGTAGGAAGCGCTTATCATTCCTGAACACATGGAATCATGTTTGATTGTTTATAGGGGCCCATGGTGTTTGTCCCATAGTTTTGGTCTCTGTTTTTGCAATTTTAGAGTGAATATTAATGGTGATTTATGTTGAATATGTTACTGATTTAGGTATGTTTACTTCATTATCATTTTAATTAACGTGGTCAGATTTTATAGTCGATAGTGTTTCTCGGTGATATATTTTTATCCATTTATCGGGAGAGCGAACTTTGAACAACATTCTATAGGTGTATTTTTGTACTTTGCCATCCTTTATCACTGCTATCTTTATTATCAAAATTGAAAAAAATGTACTTCATCTAAGATTGTACAGAACACATACAAGCGAATGGGACCTTTCATTCATGTTTGAATTAGATAGAGTAGATAAAACCAACTGTACCATACAAATGCTTCGTCCTCTTTTTCTTCAGTGATAATAAGAACCTGAAAATTCAAGCCTTGGAGGCGACTGAAGAAAATCCAAAGTGATCGAAACAAACGTAAAAATCTAGCAGAGAGGTGCACTCGCCCAATATTCGTTAAATTCTTAGTATATTTTTTATAACTGCTAATTTTCGGACAACAACAAGTATATGTTTGTGTTCTGAACCGTGCCATTATTCGAATGAATTAAAACGAGGCATACAGATTACGGCAAATACTTGGAAGTTAGACTCTCGAAAATTGTAGAAATGACACTAGTTGCGTTCGTTATGTAATATGGCGCCAATTGATATCAGTCTCTAAACAACCAGTAGCTAACGAAAAACTTGCACGTGGCTTATTGAAATCATAGTCAAATAATATCCTTCTCTGACATTTATGACTTTGCTCGACATGCAGTTGACATTTAAAGGTGTCCACGCATTAACAATCTCTGTGATATTTATGCTTTAAACTGTTAATTGATTTCTGTGTCCGAAACTCTCAAACGTGATAAACTATTTCTTTCCTGTATTACATTAATATGCATGTTGAGTTGTATTTGATGATTCTATACATTTACCATCCGGATCCAGAACAATGAGAGAAGAACTTCACATAAACTTGCACTCCTCATATTCAAGATATTACGCCTTATCTTTCTTAATGATATTGCATTTATTTTTCATTACGTATTCTTACTATAAAGTTGTATATAATGACAACAATGATTCTACTTATTATAATTCACAGTAAACTATGTACATTATTTCATCACTACAAGATCATTTGAAACGGAGCAAGCTTCACAACAATTAGATACCACGAGAATATGTTCCAGATTAGTATTTCATATTATTGCCCAATAAATAATGCGTTGCATACCTTGGATGAGTGGGAAGACCCCGTCACTTTGATGTTTTCGTACACTGCAGAATGATTAATTTCGTGGAGTTATTGTTTTCGTTGACTTCATGGGTTTCTTTAATCCGCGAAAATTCATATCCACGAAATGACAATAATTAGTATAAAAAAATTATTGGGCTATATTTAATCTCGAAATCAAGTGTCGACAAAAATAATTATTTTCATAACAAAATACGAAAAACTATGATTTTACAATAAGTCCATGTAAAACATAACAGATCGCATTAAGCATGTTACAATAAAGCGTATTCTTTTATTCTATATGTTATCATGAATGCCATTCAGTGATGTCATGCACCAACTATATAGCTTATTTAGCACCAACAAAAGTGTGATTATAAATTGTTGCTTGTTTTGTGGTACGTTCAACATTAATTGCCTGTTTCAGCTGTCTTGTGTAGTTGCTCTCCTTTCGGGATGGCATATAGTCATAGATGTTTACAAATGTCGTTTTAAATGGTTCAATTTGAGAAAATGTATAACATTTCTTTCGGAAATGGCCCATACATAAAGGCCCTTAGTTATAGATGTTTACAAGTGTTTTTTTTTTAATTGTTACGGTTTTAGAAAAACTGTAACTTTTCTTTCCAAGGTGACCCATACTTGTTTACATTCGTCACTCACAGTTGTTATAACTTTTGTTTTTGTGTTTTCAGGATGGCTCCTAAGTATGGATGTTTACTAGTGCTTTTAACTCTTTTTGTGAGCACATGCTGGGGACAGCAGTTAATTCTACCAAAAGGTCGTTATGACGACACACTTCGGGGATTATGTAGAGAAAACGATGCGTACGCCAAGGTTCCATGGGACTGTCAGGCTTATGTTCAATGTAAATCCTCGCCAGGAAGTAGGGAAATATTTCTCCAGAGGTGTCCTGCATCACTGGAGTTTAATATGAAACACAAGACATGTGGCTGGCCTGAATCAACGTGCCCGGATCTAAAAGGTAGGCTATTCACTGGTGTCTTAAATACAGATTTACAGGAACTTATCCCAGAAACATCATATATCAAAGAACTTCACATTCGTCCACCTATGTTCCTAATCATATCTTTTTGATTTTATTAGACAATAAAATGTCATGAATGCATTAACAATGTGTGCACAAATATCCCATCTGTAAAACAGTTTCGCGTCATTGTTTAATTAGGTACGGATCTAATTCTCTCAATGAATGCATCATCATAAGCATTGAGGTTGGAGATCGACATGTCTCGTTTCTGACATCTTTTCGCTGTAAGAAACAATGGGACATTATGTAAAGATGTCATTCCTTTCTAAAATTAAATTTCCTAGGCATATCAATCTGTTCATTTTAATAACGTAATATGCTTATGAATATGGTTATTTTGAAATTCATGTTTTTCCTTTTCTTATCAAACAATCTTTGTGATATTAGATGAATTGCCGTGCTTCATTTTCTTTCCTTGTTTTTGTTTCAATTTGGATCCTGTATATTCACCATTGTGGTTTTAATGTTTAACTCAAATCTGACGGTCGCTTATCACTTTCTTAAAACCAACTATGACTGTCGTGAAGCTCTTAATGGAAATGATGATACAGACACATTTGCATAAAGACTCGATCATACCATTTTGGGAAATATATGTTTGAAGTATTTAAAAACAACTGAAAACGAAGTCAGAATATGTCAGGTACTTTATAATTAAAATCAAATTAGATGACAAATTTCCAATGGTTATTTATAGGGATATAGCAACGATGGCAATATGTAAATATAAACATATAAACCATCTTCCGAAATCATCAAATATGCATAGGTTAAAGGTGAAAGTACACTATACAACTGTGGACAATTATTTTTTTGCGTCTAAGAGAAAGACTATATGATTGAATTACATCCTTATGACACTTTGCATTCAGCATTAGCAGTGGTATGGACAATAACAATGATATGTTCAGGACAATAGTCATGATAAAAACAGCAGATTTTATAGAAAAATATAGACCGCTGTTGAAATCGTCAGTATTTCTGATAGAAACACATCAATCTTTTTCCTCGTCCATCAATGCCAGATCGATTCACGACGCGAGTAATTAACGCGCGTCACATCGACATATACTCTGTCGTTTATGGTCCAAGTTCTGGTATGTTGTTGCTTTGTGATCCACTGTTCTTAGAGCTAGTATTACATATACATAGATATAAGGAATAGGAGCATCATATATTACAATGATGTCGTTTTGTTTCACTAATAAAGCAGAAAATGTATTTTATTTTCGACACAAAATGTAGATATATCTGTATATACTAATGGAGAGATCCGAAAAATTTGCTTTTCCCGAAAATTTGCATTTCCGGAAAAGTTTAAATAAAAATACGATATGAATCATGTTGACTCATTGTATAACGTTATGTTCTCTACAAATGTATTGACACGATTTGTCAAATGTCACTTTCAGAAATATATTGATACATAATGTGGGAAACCTGTAATGTAATCACGTAATGTTTTGCATTAAAACGTTATTAAACCTATTAACACACTATATGATAAATTGACTTATTAAGTAAAATATCAGCACTTTGTAAAATAGATCTAAGAAGTGTTTCGAAATTATTCTTATAGTTTTAGCATTGTAACAACAGGAGCATGTAACAAGTAGTAAAATTAAAATTTACGAGCGACAGAGGGTCATGTAATAATGATTTTAAAACTTAAAACATTGTATCAAAATTATTTTTTTAATTCTTTTTTCTTCAACAATCGAAATTTTTGCATTTACATGTGTTCGTATGTTCATGTTCATGGTTGAAATAAACAGTGTAGAGCATATTGTGTACCAATACAATACCATCAGCATTGGCATGGTGATTCACCATTCCAATAACACTGGAGTGGTGACTCATCATACTGACAACACTGGAGTGTTGACTCACCATACCGACAACACTGGAGTGTTGACACACCATACCGACAAAACTGGAGTGTTGACTCACGTTACCTACTAGATCGGAGTGGTGAATCACCATACCGAGATGATTAGACGGTGACTCACCATACCTATAAGATTGGAGTGTTGACTCACCATACCGACAACACTGGAGTGGTTACTCACCATACCGACAACACTGGAGTGGTGACTCACCACACCGACAAGATCGGAGTGGTGGCTCACTATACCGACAACACTGGAGTGGGGACTCACCATACCTATAAGATTGGAGTGGTGACTCATCATACCGACAAGATCAGAGTGGTGACTCACCATACTGACAACACTGGAGTGGGGACTCACCAGTGTTGAATCACCAAACCGACAAGATCGGAGTGGTGACTCACCATACTGACAACACTGGAGTGGGGACTTACCATACCTATAAGAATGGAGTGGTGACTCACCATACCGACAAGATCGGAGTGGTGATTCACCATACTGACAACACTGGAGTGGGGACTCACCATACCTATAAAATTGGAGTGGTGACTCGCCATACCGACAAAACTTGAGTGGTATATCACCTTACCGATAACATTGAAATGATGACTCACATCACAGACACCATAATATTCAGAGTATGTCGTATTTCCTGCAACAAAAGCATACTTAGTACATATATCATTAAACCATAAAGACAACAAGGCTGTGATGTTTATTTTACTTGACCAATGGTAAATTATCGACAATTTTCAATACGTGTTGTTGTCAATATATACCTGATCGGTCCATTCAAATAAATAAATAAATAAATGAATAAATAAAAAATCTAGAGAACAGCAGGCCACATAAAACGTTATGATTTACCTAAAGTTGATAAAGGGTAGTAGTACTATGTATGAATGAGAGGAATTTTGAACTCGTATATTAAAACGATTCTTACAAATGCAAACAGAGGTCTGTCTTTAGAAAAAAACTTCCGAATCTCCCTTTATGCTTTACGTTGTGTTACATGTATGTAACGCCGTTAGCTGCCACATTCTACAACAGATCTAGAGATTTTATAGGAAGGGCGGACTCGACCTTCTATCATTCTCCAAGTTGTCGCTGTGACACTGTATGTAGATTGTCGCTATCCTTGGCTTATAATAATTCATTAGTGGTAGGCGAGTGTAGTCAGTCGAAAGTGTGAAAAAAACCTGTATTTTCACCAGTGAAATACAAATATCAAATTGATAAATGTGTTAATTTTCCCTGCATTGATTTTAACTAAAGCTTTTGTAAAAGTCCAGCAAATAAAACATAAATACTTGTGATGCATAATATGTAAATACCACAATATTAGCCACACTCGGGGAGGGTATTATATTTGTTACTTCCAAAAACAGTGTTAGATGTCCACTTTGTATCGGATACATTTACATACCAAAAGATGAAAGAAATGTTCTTAAAATTGCAAGCTTGACATTAGTTTAATAATTTAGTATAATTTTAATAATACATACATCCAATGTTCTAGCATTGAAGATAAATCATAAAATGTGTTGAAAAATTCGTGAAAATATTGTTTGAAATAAATGCCCGGCATATATTTCTATGTGGAAGTGTTACTATGCCCAACACGTTCTCCCACTTAGTAATTATCAATACATGGGGCAACAAATGTCTTATCAAACAGATAATTTTCCATGACTGTCACTTGCTTGTCGCTAGAAGTAAAGTACATTTGACGTTTCCAACCGAAAGTAGGTGGGGAGTAGGGGACGTGTCCGGAACGTTAATTATGCTCGTGTTCATATAGTCGTTAATTAGGCATATGTCGTTTGGTCAGTCGAACGCTTGATGTGTTTACCTTACGGACTTCTAAATTTGTCAGCTTCTCGCCTTTTGTTTACAGTCTATCACTTGCTATGGTTTAATTTCTCACTACCTCCTGCTAACTCCTTACAGCTTACGGCCCGATCTTTTTACGCTGTCTACTGCTAACTGCCCGCTATAATTAATGATTGAGTGCTGCTTCAACAGTTAATAGATATCAGACAATAAATATAAGATAGCAACAATATAGAAAGCAGTAGGAAGTTAGCAATAAGCCCTGCATAATTAAACACCACAATTAAGATATAGCAAATATTAGGCAGTAGGCGGTAGATAGCACATGTCTTATAGGGAATTCATTATTAATGCCCAAAGCAGATGTTTTGTGCATCCTTCTCCTGCGTGAAAGAAACAGCGTAATTATATGCATCTGATTCCGTAAATAAACGTTTCGAATCATGTGCCCATCAAGTGTTGGATGGTAGTATGGCAGTATGCCAAGAAATGAATTATAGTTTGAATTTCAAAAAATGTGTGCAACTATTTTGACAGATTAAAACTTGAATACTGTGTATCTGTAATAAATTTACTGAATTCATTACCGTTTCTAAATTTGGCGACTAAGGCACATGACAAATGTTTTATATACAAACTTATATTTAAACTAATGGCTAGCTATTGGTGTTAAAATGCTACAAAGATTATACAAAACACACTGAAGTGATCAGCACAATTTAATACAACTGTATAATTAGATACAATGAATTAAACTGCATTGTACAGCTGTTTCGTCCTTCTGGGACTCGTCAGTGATGCTAGGAGATTTACCCATGTGTCAACCTGGTGTAACTGAACAAATGACTCTACTGGACCTTATTGTCTCTACCAGAGCTTCGTGACTCATAATTAAATGAAGCTTATTTCATATTTTAATTTGTTATGTTGAGATTAAAGTTTAAAGTTTCATGCATGTTTATACCGAAAATTAGTAATGCTCTACATAATTTTGTACAATTTTTTGCTATTATCAGCTATTTTGTCTGCTACGCTATTATCGTCTACTCTTGTCTGCTACGTCACATGTAGTATAGATCTACGGAAAGTGCAAGCTGTACGTAAGAAATATTTTTTCAGTTATATGACAGAGATAGGAAAGTTTAATATACGGATTGCCCTTTTATAATGACATGCTGAGATTAGCCTAGATTATCGCAAACAGGTTGTGTACATTGCTGCATTTTCTGAAACACAGAAATGTGTCATATGCTTTTATTAAAGGAGCGACAAATTATTTCTCATTCAACGAGATCCAATCAAATAACGTTTACCTACGAATTAACATTTTCACGTGTTGACCTTAAATGACCCTACATTGAGACAAAAAGTGTACCTAGTTCTGTTTCTGATTTCAGAAATATACATTTATGTAACTGTGCATAGTAGTTATTTGTCCGTTATATAACAATGTCATTCAATATGAAGTTTGATAGTTTTAATCATGTCATTTTCAGTTATAGAATTAAATCTTTTATTGTCGAAGCGAACTATGGGAAAGAACTCTGACAGTTTCCGTGTTAGTGTGTCACTGAAATTGACAGATGTGCGCCACTTAGGACATAAATCATAGTTACCTGAATGGTCACTCGACCTCGGAACATAGTGGTCATTTTACACTGACCACATTTACACTGTTGTAAGACATTAATATATCAAACATAAAAGTAAATGTGGGATTCATTAAAATGTTCTTTAAAAAACTGAACATTGATAAAAACAACAGTGAGCGATTCTCCCTAGTATACATAAAAACGAGATCGACATGAGTAGTTTAAATAATGTTTTACAATAATTCAACAATATTGTTCTTTAAAAGCTTATAGCCTGTTCTTGTTCGACAAGCGTATATCATATGTACTTATGTACCATTTTCCTTGATGATGTAATCAATGTTCACCGGGGGTGGGGATGGTGGTGGTGTGTGGTAATGGTTAGGGAAGGGGGGAGTGCGATCGGGATCTGATATCTTTAAAAATGTGATTAAGATTTGAAGCGACGGTGAGGAGGCTGAGATGAAATCACTATAATCTTACAGAAAGAGATTATTGAAAACGTACTTGGTATACTTTGTAAACGAAGGTAATAGTGACACTTAATCCGTCATTTGACCTTATCAGTATAAAGCACTTATCTACACTTGTACGTCATATCAAAGTAATAACATCTTTATCGGAGGATGTGAAGGATATGGAAAGATTCAAGTCAGCAGGGCTAAGACAAGAGGTTGGGAGGTTAAACTACAAAGACAAGATTGAGAAAAACGATATTAAAATGAAAGTGAATATCCATCATACGAATAACAATAAATAAAATACACGTCTTTTGTACATTTTTTGTGAAAGTAAAAATAAAAAAATAGCATTTTCCAATGTTATATTCAACAATCAATGACTACGTTTACAACATTCGTGAACGAGGACCCTGCTACAAAACCTAACACAATTAGACCTTCTCATCGCTTTTTTTCAAATGCTGATACTTTTGCTTTGAAACAATTACAATTGCATGCATATAGTAACGTTTTTGCAAGTATGTTAAGGTAATTATCTAATAGATATTTGCAGTATCATAACATCTGACACACTTGGTGTTTATCAGCATGTAACTTGTAAAAAAAAAAATGAAATATGTTTGTATATTGATCTAGTGATCAAATTTTGTGGTTATAAAAACAATTTTGTTTGCGGTTAATTTCGTGGTTAAAAACATCCACGAAACCCTCTAGTGCTGAAATTGTTGTTTTTGTTTTTGTTTTTTTTACTGTTTATAATAATTCGCGGACAAATGATTTTGGATTAAGTACCCATGAATAACAACACCACAAAAAATAATGATTTTACACATGAATGAACACACACAGGTACTTGACATTATATCAATTATCAGATATATAGAAATTACGTAATTTATTGAACTACGGTGCTAGTACAGCTCTCTATATATTTACTTTTTTCAATTACTTTGGATTTAAAGTAAGGTTTTTAACTTCACTAACGCCTACTGGTAGGATAAACAGCTGTATAATGCAGATTACTTTGTGGTGTTGTTCTATTGCATCTGTGTCTACTGCCCAAATTTGCTGTATACAGTTAAGTTGTTGAGAAATATCGTTTTTCTTTTGATTGTATCAATTGATATCAATTAATCTAAAAATTACCAAGAATTCAGTATTTTATTCAATTTTCTTTCGAATCACGAATACATTTCAACATTTCAGATTTGGTGGATTCATTTTGTCTAGAACACCCGACAGCATTACTTCCAAACCCCGATAATTGTGCTCAGTATTATGATTGTTCGAGACCCACAAGAAAACAGTTTGCTGGGGCCACGCCCTATCTTCAGGAATGTCCTCACCCACAACTGTTTGACCTGGTGACTTTTGATTGCCTCGACTACAGAAATGTTAAGTGCTCCAACAGGAAACAACCAGTGTCACCTTGTAAGTAATTTATAGTCGGTGAGGTTTAAGACAAACGAAGGCCATTGTGAAACAAGAACGTCACATTGTCGTGTTGTAATTTACATTCAGAATAAATTACCATCGATTTCATCTCAGATTAAAACAAATCTTCTTGTGATATTTGAGGCATCTTATGATTTTGTCCGGTATCTGAACATACTTTGATAGCAGAGAATGAAAAAGGAAAATGACGTCTATGTAACGATATTGTAAACTGACCGAAATAATCAATGTAGATTTCATTGGGCTGAATAACATACTCCAGAATAAAAGTTAAAAAATATCGCAGAATGAGAAATAAGCCATTGTAAAGTATTGAGACATGCAGGGTGTGTTCCTTATAAATCTATATAAAATTTGACGTCTATGATGAGCTACATTAGACCCTAATTTTGTTTTTTCCTTCCTCTCGCCTAGGTGACTACAAGGCGTATGAATGTACAGGACCCGACTGTAAGAAGTGCACAGACCAGATTCCCGGATGCACAGGGAAGGCGGATGGACCAAACCCTCATCCAAGTCGTCTTCTTTCCAACTATTTCGTTGTATGTCAAAATGGCAAAGCTACGTCGGTAGAGACGTGTTCCAGAGGGCTTTTTGACCCCACTCAGGGCCGGTGTACAACCCAACTGGACCCCCGTAAGTACTGTGTATATAGCGTTGCTCTATAGTCAGTATATGTTTTTCCCATGTTACCAGGTACACAAGGATCAACATAAACCTATCTATGAGAATCATGTTATGCTTTCGATTGATGTAATGCTTTTTCTCTTAAAGACAATCTGTAATAAATGTATTTGTGAGATAAAGCAACTGCGACAGGGAAAATGGCGTGTCTTGGTTGTATTAAATCGATATTTGTAAACAAGCAAGATAATGATAATAAAAAAAATACAACAGAAAATAACATACCTACCCATCCGTAAACAAACAGCAGGTAAAGAATATTGGACATTAACATGGAAGCGACAATCTGATATAAGATGTGTATATGTTATGTCTCTTTGTAGTATCCGTCGATACATTCTGTAAGGAGAACCCTCGTGGAAAAATCGCAAATCCTTCCAACTGTGCCATGGTGTATGACTGCACGCGCACCAGACAGCGTAACAACTTCCTGAAATACGAAGACGAGTGTCCCTACCCGATGTATTACTCCGAACTACAATCAATGTGCATGGACTTCCGGGATGTGCAGTGCGGCTTCCGGTCTCAACCGATTAACAAATGTAAACATAATCCACCTACACACCATATGCATATATCAGGTCTTATCAGACAAAACCATTCAGAACACAAATTAAAGTTCAGAATATGATATCTTTTATACGCTTAAATATTGGAAAATTAATGCAACAACAAACACTGAGATGAGAATTTCACATGACTCTGTATGCTGGTGATGTAAAGATATTTTATTTTCTTTTTTTCTGAAGGTGACTACCAGAGATATTCGTGTTCAGGTGCTAATTGTCCTGTGTGTGATCAAGTCTACCCTAGTTGCGCCGGCTTATCTGATGGACTGCATGTATATCCTGGAAGGGAAGGCACCTCGTCTTATATCGAGTGCTTCCAGTCAAGAACAGTGGATTCGGTTTCGAAATGTCCAAATGGAGCAATATTTGATCCTAGAACGAGGTCGTGTGCAGGAAATGCACAAATCAATCCAACAAACCCTAACATCGGGGGTGGAGGCGGGTCTGGTAAGATATTTTCTCTCATGCAACAAATATTGATTGAAGCGGTGAAAACACAGCATTTGTAGATTTTAAATTTCAGTTTTTATTGTCATTATGTGGTTTCATTTAATGATTGTGATGCACATTAAACATACTGTATTCTATTATACAGGAGGTCCATTCCCTAACACTGGAAACAATGGCGGAAGTCCCCAGATGGGAGGCGACTGCGTAAGCAACCCCCGGGCCCTTATACCGGACAACACAAACTGCGCACGTTACATTGACTGTAGTAAGGTGGACCCGACCCGGGGGCTGGCTAGTATGATTGAGGAGTGTCCCTACCCTCAGCTATTTGATTCTAGAACCAGTGAATGTCATAATTTCATTGATGTCAGCTGTGGAGGTCGTTATGAACCAAAATCGCCATGTAAGATTCCTTATTTAGATCACTGATAGAATAAAAACTGAATCTGGACTATAATGATAATAGATGAAATAAAGATGAAATTGCCATTGTCGTATAAAATTATGTCTGAAATATTTTTTCTGCAAATTTAGTAAATAGGTAACATTCTTTCTTTTAATGAAAGGACCCAGTAAGTTGCAAGAACTTATGTCCAATTCTTTTGATGTATTGCCAATAAAATATGTTAAAATAGAATCCTTTTTAATTTCTTTGAAATTTGCTCTTTTTCTTGCCCGTATATGTATTATATATACATTGTAAAGTGTTTTACTTATCATTTATTATTAGTTTAAGTGATGCAGAATTGATGTCCTGTATTTTTGTCATGATATATCAATTTGGGATAATTCAGCGGAATTTATCTATATATTTGAAGTCTTACAGTCGTGAAAACATTTTGAAATTATTATAGATATACAATGTTGTTTCAGGTGAGTATGAAAACACCAAAAACCTATGTAACGGACCTATGTGTCAGCTAGAGTGCAGTAAAAGATCCCCTAGCTGTGTTGGAAGACCGGACGGAAACAATACGTTCCCGGACAGAGAACTGACCTCCTTCTACATCTCGTGTATGTTGGAACGGACGCTCTCTGTCGGTATTTGTCGTTATGGAGTATATGATCCAACTCTTCGTCGATGTACAACACAGCTTCACCCAGGTATGTGTTCCAAAATCGCATGCTTTTGTACGAAAGTATATGTCTTAACACTAGGTGATTTTATTTTCGTCTGCTTTCATTATACATTTAAGCATTAGGCGCATATTTGTAAACTATGCAATGATAGAAAAAAAACAGTCGTTAAACATTCTTTGTTAAGGACGGCATCTAAGTAAAATTATGTTTTACTTAATCATTGCTTTCATTGCCTCTCGTGTTTTCACACTTTTAAATAACCAGAATATCTTATGAAATAACATGAAATATTTCACATTTTCTCTGTACGAAAATTCTCCAAGCATTTTTACAGAAAAAGATACTGCTACCTTTTACAAAGTCGTTATGTACAGAAGAGAAAATAATTAGTAAATTTTCTTTATGGTGAGTTTACAGATATATCAATGAATACTATTACAGACCAGATAACTTTCTAGAGTTAACTATCACAAAGTTCAATAAGGAAAATCTCATCTAAAAGTGATCAGAATTTTCCCATATCTACGGAAATACAATCCGGAGAATACTGGTGCGATTTTTATTTTACTTTATTTTGGTGATGAAATATTGCTGTACTTTTCCTTTTCATCATAGCGTCTGTCCAAGCCTTCTGCCAAAAGAAGCCCACCGCTGTGTTTCCGCACGTGGCCGATTGCGGGCGGTACTACGACTGTAATGACACCTTGGATGATCCCTTGTTCGGCCCGTACCTTAGAGAATGTCGCTATCCCGAGCTCTTCAACATAGTCCAACTGCGATGCGTGCCACCAAAAGAGGCTAATTGTCGTTGGAGACGCGAGCCCAAGAACCCATGTAAGTCTGGTATAATATGCCAGTTCAGCTGATGTGTGCGTTTATCGTTGTAACGTACAACTCGTGCGAAGTATATCGAAACATATCGCATTGTCGAAAGTTAAATAATATTTCTAGAAAGATAAGTTTCTTTTTCAATGATAATGATATACGCTAAGGTGTACACAAACTTTATGCACACTTTTTTTTTGTGTATTTTCAAAATGTTGAAACAAACAAAACGAACAAACTGATTATTTTTTTATTTTAATATCACGAATCCAATATTTACATATTTATCTATCTTTTTATTTTGTGTTTGTGTGTGTGGGGGTGTGTCATACATTCAAAGGAGGATTTTCTGAACGGTCAAGAAAATGACTTCTTTAAAAGTGGCAATAAGGCCCTTAAACATTGCTGGCAAAACTGTCTAAATACTGAAGGGGATTATGTTGAGAAGTAATGTAATGTATCTGCCAATAGTCAAACCCTACAATATGAGACTCGCAACTTATCAATCAGCCCTCGTAGCATGATTTAGAATGATCCGTTGCGCGTAAATTGCTGACTTATGTTTATTGGAGAATAGTTCAAAATTTTGAAATTATGTTTCATTTTAATGAAAGTTTCATTGTCAGAAGTACGATTCATTCTGTGACATGTACATGCAGAGAGATCAACGTTTCTGTCCATCATTAATGAGTATGATAAAGTACGAGAGTATTCACAAGCTTACTCTTCACAGGCGACTACTTATATAACCAACATTGTCCGGACCCCTCGTGTGAGCCTTGCGAGGTACGCTTCCCCGGATGTGTCGGACGGTCAGACGGACGACATCCTGTCAGTAATACCGAAGATAAATATTTTGTATGCAGTGGCGGCATGTTTGTCAGTATGGAAAAATGTACAGGGGCTTTAGGGTCGTACGACCCAGTCGCGAGGCAATGTGTCGCCCCCTATAATTGCGCCGGATATCAGAATGGTAACCACGCCATTGCCGGAACGGATACAGATTATTTCACTTGTGTAGATGGCTTTTACGTCAGCAAAGGCTCGTGCGCACCAGATACCTTCGACTCAGTGGACCGTGTCTGCGTTCAATCACCATGCGCAGCTTTACTGGACGGAAATTACATTATACCAGGACAGAAAACTGATTTCTTCATTTGCCAGAATGGTAAATATGTGGATAAAATGTCCTGCGCGCCATTCACATTTGACGAGACGACCAAAGAGTGTCTGACACATCCTGATTGCGCAGGGTTGGATGGAAACTTCCCTATGCTAGATTCTCCCAGTGAGTATTTCACCTGTCGAAGTGGCCGGTACATAGAGTCTGCCTCTTGTTCACCAGAAACCTTTAACATAGACACAGGTCGATGTAATCTTCCTAGTTGTACTGGACGTCCAAACGGCAACAATGCTCTTGTTGGTGCAGCTTCAGAGTTTATCGTCTGCAGAAACTCTTACTATCTACGGACGGGGTCCTGCGCGCCCTCCACCTTCGATCCTGAGTCCCGACAATGTAAAGTTCTCGATTGCAGTCAGTTAGCTGATGGTACGTACCCGATATCGGGAACAGACAACTCTTTCTCTGGATCAGACTCGGACTGGATCCGATGTGAAGGGGGCTTTAGAGTTTCAAGCGGGACATGTGATCCGTTGTCCTACAATCCCATCACCTCGAATTGTCAGGCATCGCCATCTTGTTCATCACAGCCAAATGGGAACAACCCCATGATTGATAACGACTTCGTATATTTCAACTGTGAAAACGGCATTTTACTTTTTATCCAATCATGTGCTCCATTTCCTTTTGATCCCGTCACGCGCCAATGTAGCTTCCCAGCTTGCGCGGGTGATGGTAACTTTGCCATCCCTTACAACAACCGACTATACATCACCTGTAGGAACGGCGAAATCGCCTTTGAGGGAGACTGCGGCCCGTCATTGTTTGATCCAGTGACTGGGTTGTGTCGAGCTCTTCCAGAATGTTTTGGACTTATTGAAGGAAACAACGCCTTGCCTGGCACTGAAGATATGTACTTCGAGTGTCAGAGAGGCAAATTCGTCAAGATGTATTCGTGTACTCCGCAGATCTACAACCCTCTGACAGGACGCTGTATCCCACCTATCAATCCTTGTAAGATACTCTTTAGTAGATTGCGGAATCCTGCAAACAGTATACACCGCCTGAGCTAGCTTCATAGAAATGCACTGCGCATGCTCAACTGCCATTACTTTGCTTAAATGCAAGTGTAAAATTTGTCATTAAATTACTGTATATTATGTGCACCGCCAAACATCACTTAACACTAAAAAGTAGACATCAACTTAATTCTTAACTGTAGATACTTAGAATTAATTGCAGAAATTAGGTTCGGGCCTAATGTATCATGCAGGACGTAGTATTAGGTGCCATGTTAGTATAGATTTGATAGTGGAATCTGAATAAAACATTTAAGAAATACGGACATCAAACTGAACCAAACTTTATCTCTACATTAAAAAACACATCTTTTGTGTGAGAAAATATAAACATATTAAAGAGTATATTTGAAAGGACGAAAAATGTAGCTAACACGCCTAATTCAGTAAGTTTCCATGGGAAATAAAAAATGTTTTAAAAAAGTGGGCGACATGGCCGAATAAGGTGGTATTGATTGCGATTACAGCATACTCACCTATGTATGTTGGTATATATTTCAGAACATCATTATCTACCTTGTATATTTAAGCTATATTCTCACCTTTATACATATTCTAAATATATAGTCCTATTATGAGTTGTAGTTAGCCACATCAGACCTGATATTATTACAATGTTATATGTTGTGTAATAAAGGTCATGAACTTTTCCTTACTTTGATGTACAATTTGCTGTAGGCCAAACAAAGTTGTGCCTCCGCTTTCTGTCACATTGTTCAGGTAGAAATATTCTCCGTTACTTCGCAACGGATTCGATGAATGCGATTCTGTTATAGAGTATCAGCTCTCGTCTGTGTTCAATCAATTTCGGTACATGTATTTTTAAGTACATTTTTCTGTCAATATTGTTAAAAAAAAAAGTCAGTTATCTTCATTTCCAAATTTTCTGATTCCACCCTCCCTTTCCGTGGTTTTACATTAAAAACAGTATAACATAACGTGATTTTAATTATGAAATTACTTGCTCTAAATGTCGTGTTTAACTACCAGACAGTTCAGTCTATACAGAAAGAACAGTAACTGACAGCGTCAACACATACGGTTTGGTCTATTGCATAAGTATGTACACGACACTTATTCCGTCTTATAATATCAGCTTGTTTTAGTTTCTAAATAGTAACGTAGAATTTGGTTAACATTTTCACAGTGAAACATTTCTTTGAATGAATTTGATTTCTCAGTCATGTGATCGATCTCTGTTGAGTAGAAGCTTCTCTGTATGCAAAAGGTTTATTGATTTTGTATGTAATAAATCGAAGTTTTTCTTTTCTGACAATTTTCGGGGCGTCGCCTCCAACTTCATGCTTTGGAAATTTATGCACACGAATCATATATGCTTTCAGCGCACGGCAAATCTGCAGTTTGCTTTCTTCTTGATAAAGCAAATTTACTGTCTTTGAAAAACATTATGAATTGATATATATTAACATATTCTAAGGATTCATATGACAGTTAAATTGTTTAACAATTCCGACACAGTACAAAACGCTCCCTATACTTTTTAGAATCAGTAGGCAATTTCACTGTAAATAGTTTCATCACATGCCGAATTTATATCAACTGAAAATTTCGAGCTAATAAACACGCTTTTCTAATGCTTTTGCAAATCGTATGCACGCTTTAGCACAGCTATCGTACACATTTAGTGACGTATATTTTCATATTCACACTGCTTTATTATTTTTATAGCCTTGCTTATAACAGTAAATATTCAGATATAGTAATATGTTTAGTAAAATCCACAGAAATGTTCTATTTCATTGAATTTAAAGAGTTTCATTTACTCGAATTTGGGTTAACTTTCAACTTTCTATAAAGTACTTTGAACTATTGTATCATTACACAGATATGACGTAATCACTTTTCTAAATCACGTGATATGTTGCTGATATTACAGCTGATCCGGCCGCGTTTTGTCAGCGTGACCCCACAGCCATCTTCCCCCATCCCGATAGCTGTGCCCGTTATATAAGCTGTGCCAATGAGAAAACACAACTCGGTAACTATCAAGAGGAATGTCCCTACCCAACACTGCTCGATAGCAACGATGGTGTCTGTAAACCGTATAGAGAAGTGCAGTGTGGGAGCCGAATGGAACCTAAATCACCTTGTAAGTACATCTATCAATAGATACATAAGAGAGACATACTAATTAAAAGGGAGATACAAAATTTAAAGAGGGATGCAAAATTAAAAGAGAGATACAAAATTAAAAGAGAGATACAGAATTAAAAGAGATACAAAATTAAAAGGGAGATACGAAAATTAAAAGAGAGATACAAAATTGAAAGGGAGATACAAAATTAAAAGGGATACAAAATTAAAAGGCATAAAAAGTGACTTAAATGGGTTTTTCTTTTCTGAATAAAGATAAGAAAATTTTATCAAAAGAAGAAAATACAATAAGACAAGAATGTTCTCTGAGTAAACCACTTTTACTGAAGAGCATTGTGTGTTGTATTTTTATACATTGTACGGTTATTTTGATTTAAACAATACAGGTGATTACGAGAAGACGAAGCAGTGCACGTCCCCTGACGGAATCTGTACACCGTGCGAACAGGAACACCCGAGCTGTGTTGGAAAGAGGGACGGGCCACATGCCATTACAAATCGACCGGAATGGTTTGTTCATTGTGCAGACGAGAGAACCTATGCCGTAAAGAAGTGCCCGGATACAGCTCCATATTTCGACCCAATTATTGGCTCTTGTTCCGTAAGCTTGGACCCATGTAAGTAGTTTTTAACAAAATTTGCAAAATTCTTTCTTTTCTCCTCAAAACAACTAATCTGCTGAATAGCTTATTTGCCATTTCTTACTTGCACATACAAATCAGTTTAAATACATCTTTCCTTGTGATCGTTTTCCCCACCCTTTCTGATGTTACACATTCATTTTTGTCTTTGCTGGCTTGCTGTTCCTGAAACTCTTCCTTTCCCTGCTGTACCTGCTACATGTACTCCCTCACTTTGTTTGGCCTTTCTGTTCCTTCTCCTTTCTACTGATATTACTCTAAGTTTTCATGTCCACTCCGCTTTCTCCTACTTTTGCCTTACTGCCTTCACCTTCACCTATTCATGCCTTCCTGCCTTCTCCACCTTTTTGACTCTTTCCTTCCTGACTTTTCCACCGCCTCGTACTCTTCTCTTCCTTTCGTCTACTTTTTCTTTCTTCTTCTTCTTCTGGTATTTTGATGTCGTTTTTGTTATCGAATTAGCATATGATATTTTGTTATGATATGAAATACCATTATAGCTATCGAATGAGAGTGCTTGATGAAACGTTAACGTGATATTTGCTTGTCATTGTAGTGAACCCCGGTCCGTACTGTAAAGCTAACCCCACCGTCGTGGCGTTACACCCTGACAACTGTGCACAGTACATAGACTGTAGACAGCTGCATACAGACTTCGGAAACTATAAACAAGAATGTGTCTACCCAGATCTTTTTGATGAACAGACGAGTAGTTGCAGACCGTACATCCATGTCGACTGTGGCGCGCGGCCTATACCGAAAGGACCATGTACGTATGCCTGATATTTGAAAAATCTATATCAAATCCTATGCTTTTTGTAACTGAATAACTTACTTGCTGCTTCAAATAGTTATATATTACAGATATTAATAATGACAAGACTAAGATAATACCAGGTATTGTTTTCTCTTTATATGAATAGATGAATACTCATGATTAGTTGTGTCTCTCTGAGGACCACGTCGCTCTTTTAGGAACATATTTCTTGCTATTTGTGAAATTCAAAGCTCACATCAAAATCATTATTACAAATTCAAAAAGGTGAATTAATTGACATGTTTTGTTTAATTGTTTCTGTAAACAGGCGAGTATGAAGCTAACATGCGTTGCCTAAGTAACCGTTGTACTGTTTGCGAGGAAACTTTCCCGTCTTGTGTGGGACTTCCGAACGGCAATAATGCCTTCCCGGGACATCGAAATAAGTTTATAGAGTGTATGGATGACCGCACCATTCGTCAAGACACGTGCACAAATGGCTACTATGACCCGGCTTCTCGGATCTGTACTCTAAAGTTTGACCCAGGTATGGTAATGTTCTCTGTAATTACTCAAACGAACATACTGTTGTTCAAAGCTAAACGGCGTGAAAATGGTATATGACTGCCTTACTCCAAATGGGCCTTTTATTTTCTAAATTAATATTAATTTAAGTACATTAATATATCGGAGATGATAAATTCACAGTAATTTTGTATTAAGCAAGTAAACATTGAAAGAGCAAATATATTTACCTGTGACATTAATATAAGCTCTGTATTTGTTTTTGTTAGCCGATCCGGAGCCTTACTGCGCCATCAAACCCAATGCTCTGGTAGCCAGTGAAATGCTTTGTTCACAGTATTATGACTGCAGTAAGCCAGACAGTGCCTATGGCCGGAACCTTCATGAATGTCAATACCCTTTGCTCTTTTCAAGGACAACATTGTCGTGTCAGGACTTTAGTACGGTCGACTGCGACACCCGATTTGAGCCTATTCAACCATGTGAGTTTAGAACACAAGTCTTACGTGTGTTTTACAACAGTTTTGACACTAATGTTAAAATGATTTAAGCTGGGTGTTTTGTTTTGGAGTATATAAACTTTTGAACAATTAAATCTAAATATTCTCCAAATATGATTGCGTGATAAGGTTATCGGTCTTTTTTAAAAAAAGGTTTACATAAATATCTTTCATAAAACTCTAGTGTATGAAATTCGCTGATGAGTGGATGCTATTAAACTTTACAGTATTTAGGCTCTTGAATACCAGTTGTTTATACACGACTTAAGGTTCCAACATTTATGTAATATCAATATTCAGTAATGAACAGTATTAAAAGTCCAAACTTATCGTTGCGTGCAACAAAAATAACGTGAAAATGATATAAATTTCTATTGTCTAGACACCTGAATATGCTGTTAGAAGGGTTAACGGCATTGTCGAATGGTGATTGTGTTTTTAGAAAATTTCAGTTATGATGTGATTGTGTATTTTTATTAGCATTAAATTTTACTTCACCATTCCATATTATAGGTGAATATCTGCAAAACAAATGTGTGCCCACCCCTGGATCTGCCGCGTGTACACCGTGCGCAGAACGCCTTCCTCCGTGTATCGGTCGCCCTGACGGAAACAACACTTTCCCCGGTCGCGAGAACACGCCCTTTTTCATCACTTGTTTCAAACAACGAACAATATTTGTGAGGACGTGTGAGCGAGGATATTTCGACCCAGTCCTGAAAATATGCCAGTTCGAAATTGACATCGGTATGAGTGTAAACAGCATACAGTTTAATGTAAAACTAAGGCTAACTATCCGTTTGACGATTCAGTACATATTTGCAAATAGGTTAAAATAGTTAATATGTAAAACAGGTATGTGTGATTTAATGTTACAAAATATGTCTTCAAAGTACTATTGCTACCGGCACGGTTGTAACGACACAATAACTACAAAAATATCTTTATAAATCTAACAAATAAATAACACAAATAAAATGTATTGCATGGATCAAATGCAATTCTGAAATGTTGTTTGTAAAACTAACTGTCCTGAGATCGATATTTAAAAACTTCTCTGTATTCTTTACTCAGTTTTTGTCTTCTGATTATCATGCAATAGATATACCTGTGTAGTGATTATTAAGTGGTTGCTGGCTTCAAATTCTGATTAAATCGTTGATGAAATAATTATGAAATTCTGTAACGGTTATGGAAGACAAAATTAAAAAAAAATTAGTATGTATTGATATATTTAGAGTAGGTCACCATAAATAAGCTTATATTAAATCTGCAAAGCCTGTTCTTAGCCCTCATTCATTGTTTTCATTTTAATTTTATTTTTTTCAACAGCAAATCCAAGGCCATTCTGCGCATTCAACCCGACCGTCCGAGTTCCTCATCCCGGAAGTTGCGCAAAGTATTTTGACTGTAGCGCGGAAGTGAGTGTGTACGGCGAGTTCGTAGACGAATGTCAGTATCCTCTACTCTTCAACAGACAGTCTCAAACATGTGACGAGTTCGATAAGGTCGACTGTGGCAATGTCCCTGTACCGCAAGCTCCATGTAAGTCACAACTAAACGTAGGATATGTCCTTGTGATGATGTAATACAGCGTTATCGGAGAGAAGATAAAAAAAATCCCCACTCAAATAGATATAGTATGATAATTGATGTTTGGTCTATCGCTAATTTTTATCGAAGGGCTACATTTATGTTCAAGTGTCACTGATTTCAACATAAGTTTATTGGCAAGTAAATGTTGCAGATTCTCAGTGCGTTATAGAATATGCTGCAACTCCACCAGGTGAAAATTAAACTTACAATGGCTTATTTCTATTGGTATGAAATGTTACATCTATGTCACCTTTTCATTCATTTTAATTGTGGCACGATTGAGAGTATACATACTCATTGATGTTCTTAAAAATTATCAGATTTTTGAAAATTGTTAAAATTATTGAATTATGGGCTAGTACACATTCCCATCTAGATATTGGCATTTCCTTTCGATTACTTTAGAGTTTCCTTTAATCGCACCCTTGACTCCAAAATTTAGACCCTTAGCGTCATTGACGAACCATAGAATGACGCAACAGGTGTATGATTCAGATCAATTAATGGTTTTCTCTACTTATGTATCTTTAGTACAACGTAAGGCTCTTACGGTGTTGCGTGGTAAACGCTTTCATATTCAAATCCCATTTGAAATAATCTTAGATCATTGTGAAAGCGAAATTAAACAATTTTATTAAATTTAAAGCGTGATATACACACCTTCGTATCATCGTACATATTAAACCACGATGTTTACTATTCATATTAATTATTTACAAAATACATTTTACGTAGGTGAGTACGACCAGAACACCTGCGCAATCACACAGGAGATGAGTTGTCAACCTTGTAATGAGCGTCTTCCCAGCTGTATCGGGAAAGAGGCCGGAAATCACACATTCCCAGGGCGTGAGCTTTCCACATACTACGTCGTCTGTTTCCGAAATAGAACTGTCGCCGTACGGTCATGCGCAGAAGGATTTTTTGATCCTGCTTCTGGCCTGTGCACAACAGTTCTCACAGCAGGTATGTTTATAAATTACATTAAATCTAACAAAAGTGTTTTTCTGATACTTGATTTAAATGATTTTGTGACTTCTTCGTAATGTTTATGCTCAACTTAAGATGATATGCACAAAGCCAAGTGTGTTGCCATGGTATCAATTATTGGAAGAAAAGAATCGTGATCTAGATTTTTTCGGAATTGTTTCAACATCAGCGGTCTATGCGAACCAAGCATGTCCTATTTATTCCACACTTAATTTCAACCTATATATATATCGCTGAATTTCAGTAAGCTCCATTCACGGCATCGTTTCGACAGATAAAACACAAATCATTCTGTACTCCCGGGCTAACCTTATCAGTTCCTTTACAGCTGCTATTCGTGGTTTCTGTGTCGCCAATCCTGGAGTGATTAAGGCCAACCCACTGAACTGTGCCCAGTACTTCGACTGTGGAAATGCCAGTATCCGTGCTCAGACCTTCCTCAGAGAATGTCCGTACCCTATGCAGTTCAACGCCGATTCTCTTGCCTGTCAGAACTTTACAAGTGTCAATTGTGACACGCGTAAAGACATAAAACTACCCTGTAAGTGCACTTGCCATTCTTAACACAAGGTGACACTTTAAACTTTGAATAATGCTTTAAAAGTGCCGTTCCTGTAATACAATACAAGCTGTGATCAATTGCTTCAAATATAAAATGGTACTCGTACTCGATTTCTTGGTCTAGAAACCTTACAAGGGAATTTACAAACACACAAGCATATATCGCCTTTCAATACAAATGAGACTACGATACAGTAGAGCCAAAATTAATTCAGCTATATCAAACAGCTGTTCCATCACTTTATAGCTTGTCATTAATGTTAAGGTCCCAAAGAGATGAAACTAATGAGGTGATCACGGAAAATCATAATTGGCCGAGTACGATCAAAATTTAGATGAGGAAGAAAATATGTCGTTGTTTCGATGTAATTCCTAGGAAAAATTTGTAACGGGGAAGCACATGCAAAGAACACATTCAAACTGTATTATCAAATTTCTGAAATGAACAACTTTATGACTTTATTTACAGGCGACTACTTACAGAATCGATGTAATCCAGCAGATCCGAATTGTCAGCCATGTGAACAACGTATCCCCAGCTGTGCGGGTTTGCCGGACGGAAACAATCCGTTCCCTGATCGACCAATGACTAACTACTTTATTGTTTGTTTGAATGAACGGACAGTGTCCATAGAGAAATGCGGAAGACTTTATGACCCTGGTTCTCGCGCTTGTGTTAATGACGTCACAGAACGTGAGTACACTGGTTTTTAGCATGATTTGTTTAGAAAGGACATTTGTGTTATATGGAACAGGTCTTCAGGAAACAGCTTTGTGTAGATTTATTTTTCGTTTTTATTTTATCTTAGTTAATTGGTTAAAGATTCGTTTTTTTGTGTTTAGTTATAATGGGTAATAAAAATGAACAAAATGTTTATTTTGCTATATTATAAAATATAAGTTGGTTATTTTTCATTTCTCTCACTTTTTCATTATTTCAGCACCGAGAACCTGAAAATGTTTGGCATGTTAACCAACTAGCAATTTATAATTTACTAGAACCGCTTCTTTACCTAATAATAACAAACTCCTATTTCATAACATACATTTGTTGACTTGAGTTTTTGGTCAACATGTGTCATGTTGCACATGGCGGTTGATAGGCACTATTGCTTAATGGCGGACATTGTCGAACACTAATGAACTTAGGCATAGGCAGTCGACATTGATATGTTGACGGGTCACTCAATGACCTGTAGCTATTGTTCTGGGGCAAACATATGGAATATCAGGCTTAATTCACTATAGAAAAGTATAGGGAATAGATAGTAAAGGTATGTGTCATAATGACATCTTTTGTATGTATTACACATGTGTAAACGTAAAAGATCACTTAACGAAATATTTAAATGTATATTGCATCCATCCAATCTTTAATTGACAGCAATGGTGAAGACCTATTGTGACGCGAACAAGGGTTCCATCAAGGCTCATCCTTACCAGTGTGCACAATACTATGACTGTCGAAGGGCAATCGGTGGTTCCTTCCTCCGGGAGTGTAAATACCCACAACTGTTTGATGATTTGACTGATACCTGTCGAAACTTCTCAGAAGTCGACTGTACAAACAAATTCGTACCTCAAGCTCCATGTAAGTGTGTAAATTAACAATGACTGCAGTGATAAAACAGTTGACGACTGGCGAGGATAGTGTATATTAAGGTATAAGGTCCCAGTCAGTCAGTGGAATGTTATTGTCCACTTGCTCCAATTTAAGACTGCATCTAACATAGGGGTAATATTGAAAATATTGAATTCTCGTGTGCGATAATATGGTACATGTGTTAGATGGTCGATAGTGTCCAAAGTATTCATATAATTGTCTCTTATTTGAGAATACGTAACTGGTATTGATAAAACTTTATGTGACGGTCGTCGTTAACAGTAGTTAACGTTACTATGACTACATGATGGTCGTCGTTAATGGTAGTTAACGTTACTATCACTACATGATGGTCGTCGTTAATGGTAGTTAACGTTACTATGACTACATGATGGTCGTCGTTAATGGTAGTTAACGTTACTATGACTACATGATGGTCGTCGTTAATGGCAGTTAACGTTACTATGACTACTAGTATATGACTGCCGTCGTTAATGGTAGTTAACGTTACTATCACTACATGACGGGCGTCGTTAATGGCAGTTAACGTTACTATGACTATATGACTGGCGTCGTTAATGGTAGTTAACTTTACTGTGACTACATGATGAGCATTGTGAATGGTAGTTTGCAATGTACTTTACTCTGACCATTTATTTGAGTACAACTGTACATTTAACTAGTACAACACTGTCAACATAGCTTAACGCCAATTCTGAATGTTTCCACATTAGGTGACTACCTCCAAAATCATTGTCCACCCAACTATCCCGGATGTCAACCGTGTGAGGAACGCCTCCCAAGTTGCGTTTCGCTTCCAGACGGTAACAATCCATTCCCCGGACGTCTGTCATCCGAATTCTACATCCAGTGTTTCCAGAACCGTACAGTTTCCGTAGAAGCCTGTCAAGTATCCCAGTACGATCATACAATTAGGAGCTGTTCTCCGCAGATAAATCCAAGTGAGTTGGTGACATCTCGTTTCTGTATCGTGGAATCGCGAATTATTCTATATAGAGCGCCTTTCAATTTTCGTTAGATAGGATATCATTAAATCTAGACCTTTACCAGTATTTATTGAAGTGATGAAATTACTTTTACCGTTTTAGAATGTCTTTTTTAAAATTATGTGATATTCTTTGCTTTTGAAAACACATTTATCCCCAGATGTCTTTTGTAAAGCGAATTATTTCTAATTGATTGTAAATCATCTATCCGTGTCAATATGTCAGTTATCTATGTAAAATGCAGAGCAATATGTAAAACACTAATGATACATACAGTATCTCTCTTACCAAGAAGGTTTCTGTAAAACACAATTGTTACACTCCGTGTTTCTCTAATCGAGAAGGTTTCTGTAAAACACTATTGCTATTAAATAATCCAGTCAGAAAAGGCCCCATTCAGTTCTATTCACTAATATTCACCAATAACGATGGCATTTTGTTATTTTGTCACTAGATCTGCTGTCTAGTCACTGTAAGGAGAGACCATTTGACCTCATTCCTGACCCCACCAATTGTGCCAGGTACTTCAACTGTAGCAACCCGGCCGTTTCTCAGGGTATGAGCCAGCCATATATGTCGGAGTGCAAATATCCAAAGTTGTTCGTTTCCTCCAGTATGGGTTGTCAAATATTTACGACGGTGTCCTGCGTGGACCGATACGAACCTAGGGCTCCCTGTAAGTACAAAGTCTCTGATCTTAGATATAAATGTTTTCATTTCAATTGTGCAAACAACACTAATATGGTATCATGAATCGTTTTAATCAGGTATATATCATAATGTATCTGCTGTCATTCACATGAAAATAATTTTAAGAAATCTTAATGTGCTTTATCAAATATGCATCTTGCAAAATTGGTCGTTTTATGATATATTTTGGCATACACTGGGCAAACATTTGAGTTGTTTGAAGGTTTATAAAGATCCTGTAATCATAAATCACATAAAATGATTTAGTAGGTACATATGTATTTTATCATTTCAATTTCTTATGTATTGATAGGTGAGTATGTCCAGAATCAGTGTTTCGGTACCGAATGTGAACCCTGCGAATCAAAGTTCCCGAACTGCATCGGTAAGGACGACGGAAGTAATGAGTTCCCTGGGAAGGAATTAAGTCGACTCTACACCGTCTGCTACTCTAACCGCACAGTCGCAATTGTGTCATGCGCAGTGGGTATCTACAATCATAGGGAGAAGGCATGTGTACAGGATGCAGTGACGACACCAGCAACTGTACCTTGAGAGAGCGTGCTAGAATATAAACTTTCACAATGATAGAAACAACACTGTCTTAGTATAATAAATTGATTATCATTGTATACGAGTATGGCGTTCAGGAAGGATAATAATTCAACCTCAGCTAATAGGTTAAACATTTTAGTATAAAGACCCTCAAAATTCCGCTCTAGATTATAATAACACTCAGAAATTTGGGATGTTTAGGATCACGATTGATAAAAGACATAGAGAAATAATTCATGCATTCTCTAGTTAGACAACGTTTCGTTTGAATTACAAATTAACGTTGTTTTATGTGTTTGTTCAATATATTTTATCATATTTAAGTAAGCAAGTATATTACGCCTGTTGAAGCCATACTATACATGATTACGTTTTATTATTCAAAGAAGATAGCATTTTCCTGTTGGTCATCTATTATTTATATTACAATTATTGATTCATCTCATTTTGTTCTTAGATGCAAACATCATGTAAAAAGCTGGACTTTAACATTTATTTACACCGAATCGTAATCATTGTTGTGTTTGTATAGTGTTGTTTGTTGTCTTCTTGTACAAAGCGAAAGGCATATCCTTTCAAGGTTTCCATACTCAATCTAATTCAGCTCAATACGGGATGGCGATAATTTAAAATTCCTATTTCCGTAATGCTCTTTCAGTTGTTATGTAATTTTGATATTCTAATTCTGTAAAACCTAGTGTCTAATATATGTATGTATAGTACCATTTGGGACCTTTTAACTTACAAAGGTGACTGCCAGTTGAGCTAGTCACGTGATACGTAGTAATCACGTGACTAATCAACGGCAAGCAATGAGCGAATGTGTATGTAGAACGTGTGTTGTAAAGTTATTACAAGGATTTGTAAATAAATAATACAATGAGCAGGCCTTTAAAATTCAAAGTAAATCTGCCTTGTATAAATGTCAAATTACGTGAAGGTATCGGAATATAATGTCAATAAACCATACTTATTAGTGATTTATAATTGAAGAAACCAGAATTCTATTAAATAATTTTTTACCTTCCTTTCATGTTTACCGTATCGTACGAAAAGATAATTTTGATCATATTTTGTCACATATATAACATATGTTATCTTTATTTTAAGCTTTGTGCGGCTCTCTAGGGTATAGGAGCCACAGAAGAATATTTCAAACGATAATTAAGTGTTATAGTCTGCATTTATCTGCCTCCATTCATAATTTCAATAAATATTCATTAAAAAATAAAATAATCGTGAACGTTTCTGTTCCGTTTACACACAGCAACGATATCGTTAATTATTTAAGTTAGAACTATGACAACGAATATTAAAAAGTTATTAAAATGAAATAAATTTTGTTTTCTCATTTCAATATGTTCTTGTCGTTTTATATGTATGTACTAGCACACGTGACAGGTTGTTTGGTCGCCTGGTGTTAACTCGTTAATTGGTTTACTAATTTATAATATCAATTAAGATAAAAGGCTGTATGACTAGGAAACACCAAGCCTGTTCCCATTACTAATATTTCGTGCAAGAAGTCGTCAATTTACGGAGAACACACATGAAAAGATCAAGGTTGATGTTATTCTCTTATTTATTTGCCCTAGTTTAATTGAATATGAGTTTGGATAATTAATATGTCGATATGTTTATATTTTCTTGTTGTTTATTGTATAAAGGTTTGTACTGGTTTGATCTTTGAAGAATCCAATTGGATACTTAACTCGACTGGAGGTTTTAAACCGACCAGGATAGCCATAACCCGTCAAGACACATTTACACTCTTCAAATGTAAATAAATGTCACCACCCAGAACTGACGATCTGATATAAAAAAGTTGCTAACTTTAGTATGTACAGTATGATTACTAAACGAGCTGAAACAAGGCATTCTCAAAGCAAATAAAAGTAGGACTCGTTCCGAGTTGATGCAAGTTTAAAATTGTTTATATAGAGTTTCGCCCGCATTACTGGTGTAAATGTCTCACAGACGATAGACAATGTCTTTTTGATGGTAATACGTTAAAATCAAAGTACTATCTCTTGTAAGTTACTTCTCTTATATAAACGTACAATACACTTGCTATGGTGCGACTTGTATATTTGATGACGTCGAGTTACGAATACATTCAGTGATACAAATAGGTATTTTATCAAGTTTAAGAATGATTAACGTTTTAACAGAGTGTACTTTGCAAGTGTAGGCTAATATCGATGTGAATACTTTGGCTGTTCAATTACCTTGGTACTGGAGGAGCAATATACAGCGTTTTTTCACTCTCGCTAGAGTAGGGAAATGTAAACCGTTGTATGTCTTTGTTAGTTACTTACCTCTTTCCTTATTACTAAACGTCATTGAGAACTGAGACGTTAAAATAATTAAGATGTATTTGAATATCTTATAACCACATTTCGCATTGGTTTCTCCATTTGTCACGAGATTATTTCATCATGGAGTACTGCTTTCGGTTTCCAAAAAAATAAAAACGACAGAAGGGAGGTAACTCTGTCATGAATTGTATTTTCAGCTCTAGACTTTAAAGATCTACACTGTTATCACCATTTAGTTTGACCGATTTTACTTGCCATACTTGTCTTTGATATCACCATAGAGTCCCTATGAATCTATTATGGTAATCCTTTCGTTACAATATTAATCTCAAGTAATGAAAAAGGTACTGACACTATTTTCCTTCCTGTATACGCAAAAAATCGTTTTTGTGTCAGCATACAGTACACAACAATCATTACTATTACAGGAACCGTAGAAATTACTCCGTTACCACAAATATCAAATGACTCCATTTTAAAATCTAAGAAGGTCCGGAATAAATGAAACAACAGTTCCTAACACTGCCTGCAGTGTAAGATTGCCAATGTGACGAAAATGAGTCCTGAATATTTGACAGCTGACAATATATTTTTGACCATTCGCCGAATAATGATCTGTCGTAAAGGCTCAGTGATTTGAACGCTTTGGTTGATAACGGGAACACATTTTCTCGAAAGCTTGCAATGTGCAGTTTGTAATCGCTGTTTGTGTTAAAGATAAACATCTTCTAAATAAATCTATACTTAAGAGATGAACCTCATTTTGAGAACTATTCTATAAAGATTTCATCACTGGCGTTATAAGGCGATTTTGCGTCTGCCTTGACGTAACTGGGCAATTCATGTATACAGACAAATCTATCACTAGCAAAACACTGATGTGATTAATACAATATTGATGTATGATATCTGAAAGTAATTCGTCGTTATTTAAAAATAAAAAGATAATACCGGACTCAAAATAAGAATTCAAACTTAACAACGATTTAACGAATTCAAAAACAAGACCAAACAGACTAACACGAAAACTCTCGATCATATGTTCCGGAAGGGTAAATTTCTTCTGTAAATAAAAACGTGATCATAAACATTTAAGGTCATATCGCAGGGAGTTCCGTTTAAAATGAAATACATAATCTATGGTTGTAAAAGGCTAAGGTTTTATTACGGGAAATACGAATCATGAAGTGTATCCCTTTAGATTACAGCGGGGACTCCTAATTTGATAATGGCAGCTAATGTCGTAGTATTATATGTACTCCCTTAAATGGTGGCACGGCTCAGAAAATACACATGTATTTGACGCTTTCCTAAAATTATCTGACGTATGAACATTTCGAAATTTATCTAATTATGGGGCTGCTGCACCTTCACGTCTTGATTTTGGTTTTCTTTTTATCTTTTTGGATTTTCCTTATTAGCCTTCTATGCGTCAAACTTTTAGCATACTGACGAGTCCTAGATTCAGTTTAATTTATTGTTTGGCTTTACTGTATCTCACTCTAAATAATGAAAAGGTGCTATTCACTTGTATGTTATTTGTACAATCTTTGACATACGTTATACGTACATATCTGTAAGTAATGAACAAGTCATCACTCAGTTTGCTACACACACACACACACACACACCCTCCCCCCCCCACACACACCCCCCCCCCACACACACCCTCCCTCCACCCCCCACACACATGTGAACTCATAGTCACTTCTCACTTGCGTGCTCACATTCAGACACACCTCAATACCAGCGTAAAACCAATCTTCACAAAATCCCTCTCGTAAATTCTCTATTATGTAATATGTGTTTCCTTTTGCACCGGTGCAGTGAACTTTAACATAAAGATTATTTGAATCATAACCAACGTAATAAAATATATCGAAAGTAGGTCCTTTTCTATATAATTCGTTTTATATCAAGTTTTAGATACATAAGGAAATGGATAAGCCATATTGATAGTAATGTACAAATATCCACCTGTGGTTTTGTACAAGAGATAACACTGACTAACGGTCACTGCCATGAATGCTTGTGAGGACTTTACTGAACTTTGTTATTGCTAGCTGTCGATGTTGTTATGATATTTTATCTCATCTTAAAGGTCGTATAAAAAAAACGTTAGTGACTACCACCTTTCGATGCAAATTCAGTACTATATACACTAGAACGAAAACATTAAGTAAACTGCATCAGACAGCTGTTTCGTTCTTATAGGACTCGTCAGTGGTGCTAAGGGCCCACATTGTTGACAAGGGGTGGTTTCTGTGTAAAACTAATGATTTTTGTTTTTATCTGTGAAATTTGAGAACATATGAATTTGATTAAACACTTCTTTTTCAGAAAGATGCTTTCTAATAATTGTGTTATGTCAAGTAAGAATTTTCACTGAAAATCTGTTTTGTGTACCACGCGCCTTTTCGTTAAATTAATATTATATTGCGGTTTTCATGAATCTGTTCAAGAAGCCGGAGTAAATAAAATAGAAATATTCGATTTCTTTATTGATAGATTATCACCAATACTATCATAAAAAATTGAAATGTTGCTTTCATTTCTTGCTTAATATCTCGCCATTTTAATTAAACGTAGAAATAGCGACATGGATATTAGAATTGACACCTGCCCAAACACGAGGATCCTTTCAAGGTACTCCGGTCCACATGAGAAAAATACGGGTTAACATGAATGATAATATAAGTTACATTTGTATAAGCTCGTTACGCATTTGTGCAATGAATAATTGAGTAATTTATCTAGTTAGTCAGATTATCTTGTTAGATAATACATTTAATTAATTGATTTCGAGTTATTTTTCTCGTTTTTGTGTTAATGATCCTCAAAAAATTGCTTTCTGTAGGTGTTTAAATATTGATGACTGAATAATTACCCGAAATGTAACACTATGAAAGATATTTCGAGAGCATATAACTATTTTATTATTTCTAGAACATTTTAGCCGAGGTTGACATCTTTTAACAAAGCTGAATGAATCACAGCAATACAGAAACGCCCACGTGATAGAATCTTCACTGGGGACACGACAATGCTGAAGAAGGAATGTCCCCATAAATATCTTTACTCAGGTCATAGATGGTTGTCCGAGTCAATCCCACACTCAGCAGTACACACAGGGATAGAGACACGGACAGAAGATACACAGTATGGACGACAAACACTTCTGAAACAATAAAGGGAAAACATCGTCAAAATGGTAAGTTGATATTAATTCTTACCTTCAGTAAAAATAATCTGGTTTTTTGTTGATTGAATGTGTTTCCGTTATCATTGAACAATGACTTATCGTTGAGGTAAATGGTTTTGGTTTTACATAAAGTTTATATTAATCGGTTTAAAAATCGGATTCTTTCTGATAACGTTATCAAAAAGAAAAAGCGAAAATCAGTGTTTTCTCCGTCGAATTATTGTCTAGAATAACAGGCAGAAGAAGTATGTCGTGCTTAATCGATTCCTGTCTGAACCTGTTTGTGTTGCTTTGTTATCCAATGTCACAACTTTGTCAATGGCGCCATATTGAATGACTAAAAATAATTACTAGTTTATCATATATGAAAGGAATTCAATTAACAAATGAAATTATTCATTTCCGCAGGGATCTTTGTCTTTTGGGTTGGCACTACATTACGATATCACTAAGAACGATGTTCCCTAGCAACGTATACCAATATCAAAACAGAACAATGCAATTAGAATAATTCATTGAAGAAAATTATTTCTGTTTCTTAGGTCAGTATGGAAATAATTAGCATTAACTCTCTTTTTTCCCTTTCAGTACGGTCATCTTAACGTCGTACTTAAAACATATATTCTAGAGAGACACAGTGAAGAGCAATGGAAAGCGATTTTGTGAGTAGTCCTTAAATATTTGGTAGAATATATATAGACAGTGCTATTGTCTTCATTTGGTGAAATCTGATGTACGTCTACATTCACGCAAAATCTTCAATAACGGAGTTTGTAGCAGTCATAAATATAAATTAAACTACTTTAATATATTTGTGTTTGGATACACGATGATTTTTAAATTCTGTTTTTTTGTGTGTTTGCTTTCTTGTTTTGTATTTTTTTTTATAAACTTAATCCCAAAACCTCTCAATAGTTCATATAAAGACAAGTGCAACTTGAGAAGTAATTGTTTAAAAGTGTCTTTTGTCCCAGTTGCGGAGTTTTGTTGTTGTGTTTCTTATGACAATTGAAATAATCATGAGCGTTGAAATATCCTTCCTGTGATCACTTCGGACAAACAAAATTGATGGAAAAATGGATGAGCTTTCTTTCTATGAAAAAATAGTCGTGTTCATGAAAAATTGTTTCTCAAAAAAAAAACTACATAAAACGAATGTGACGTCATGGTAATTACACAATCATATACTTACAGGAAAGAGGTTAACCATAGTGGAGAATTCCAGTCGTCTGAAAAACATGATGACGCGCTTACACAGAAGCTTATTGATGCCACTATCAATACCCTTGGTGAGTAAGTGGTCATTTACCCGAGGGACGATACTAGTTAGCTTTAAAAAGCCCGATAAAAGAATGTTTCTTAATTGCTGTCTACCTAACGTTTAAGATATATGGTGTTTTTGTTTGTTTGACTACATCAATTTCTATTATTACATTACAAGCTAATGCGTTTTATATTTTTATGGTTACAAATGTCTCTCGGTGCATTTAAGAAGACTTGTTGTGGTATTGCAGTTGCATGTAGCTCGACAAAACAAGTGAAATAGCTCGATATAACAAATGAAAAAACTCGACATAACAAGAGAAAACATATATGTATGAATTATAAAGTCCGTTTTAATCACACAGGCCTTAAACGAGATGCATTTCTCACGTTGGTCGGCGAGTATTTCATGGAATATTTAATGAAGAATTCTTATGACGAACTGATCCGTAACCTTGGCGCCAACACACTCGAATTTATCCAGAATCTTGACTTCGTCCAGACGTACTTAAAAGAAGAATACCAGGAGGAAGTCATGCCGAGTTTCCGATGTGATGGGGACTCGGTCTCAGACCGAATGACCCTTCACTACTACTCTGTCCGACCTGGCTATACATGCTTTATCACAGGTCAGTTAGTGCGAAACACAATGGTCACAGGTCATGTCGGCCAAAACACTTCGATAAGGAAAAAGACGAAAAAACTTGAAAATGGATGTATTATTTCCAGCTTCCCATTGTGCTTAAATAATTGCTCCGATGAAAAAAAAACTTTTATGTCATACATCTTAACCATCGTAAATTCGTTGTAACTTGACCTCTTTGGAAAAGAACAAGTTTGTGTATGTGTCCGATTCAAGTTAATCGATATATTGATTATTGTCATGTATTATGTTAAATTTTCTTTTACACAACATACTTTAATTTGTTTACCCTACAGATATTTTCCATATGGTTTGTTTATTCAGGATTTTTAACCGCCGTTGCCAAATCCCAATATGGTATGCAGCTTACCATAAATGTCCTGTCCACCACCGCGGAGACAGTAGCACAGGAGAGGGGATACAGAGAACATGTCATAATAAACATTCTGGCTAAGAAACCGGAAGAGCAACCGGAAACGGAAGGACCTCCAACATTTGTAGCTCAGACGCCAAAGAACGCCGAACGTCAGATTCTTAAAACGGTGAATAATCAATGACATCACACCATTTTTATCGTCCTAAAAATTCATCATCATCATCATCATCATCATCATCATCATCATCATCATCATCATCATGGACGATATAGACGATATAAAGATATTGAAATCATGTGGATTGACGTACATGAATATAAAACTCAAAAGCCTCATATGGACAATATAAAATATAAAGACAATATGGAATTAAGACTAAGACAGTATGATGAATGATATAAAAGATTTTTTTATACATTTCAACCCTCCTTTAGTCTATTAATGTCATTATGTATTTTTAAATAGTGTATGACGATTATTCCAGGACGTGGACGCAGTGCGTGCTCGCCTCGAGGAGATCCTCCGAACGCAAGGAGAGGATGCCTTACCTCTCAATAAGTACCGCAGCGCTAAGGCGAAATGGAAGGCCATTGCAAAGATCAGTCTCTTTTCCAAGGGATTTGTGCCCAGCTATCCTCACCAGAGTGCAATAAATCCTAAAATGTTTATCGATGTCTTTCCCTACCATATCATATTTGATTCCGACATGAAACTATACCAGACTGGTGTGAGACTGCAGAAGATGATGCCTTCAATAAGAAGCAGGATGGCTAAGGTCACAGACTTCTTTTCTCTGAAGTATCCCAGATGTACTGACTTCACTTTTGAAAACATGAAGAACTTTGTAATGTGTCCATTTATCCTAGAAGTACAAAAAGATCGTTTGGCAAAAGACTTTGCAAAATACGACCCTTTCCAGATCAAAGGTGTGTTACATATTTAGATCCTCATTAATCATTGGCAAAAAAAAAAAAATGCCTGTAATGTTAAAATACTTTCGTTTAATAGACGATGGATATTCTTAATATATATGGAGTTAACATGGTTAATCTTGAACATTTTCATCAGATAAATTTTAATTTGAAGGGACAAACACCATTAGTCAATAATGTATCGACTAAATAAAAGCAATTTTAAATAAAGATTTAAGCTCTTCCTTATCAGATAAGATCATCTCCATTTATTCTGCTTTTACATTGAATATTTGACAGGTCAGATGTTTATGCTGATGGACAGAAACTTCTTTTTCTTCATCTGTTCCCCGGTGGTTAGATCATGGCCCGATCTTGAGAAGCGTGAAATGAAGATGGCCGACATTCCTATCTGGGATGCCACACGTGACTTCCTATTGACGGATCTCACATACAGGTATGTAATTCATGACACCAGTTGAAGGTGTCCAATAGGGATTGACCGTAATTTTATTTCGTTAATATGCAATGAGAGGAGTAATAAATAAAATTCCACAATTTCAACAGAATCTTAACACAAACTCAAATGCGTTGAAAGTAAAATATGATGAAAAAATATCCAGGAAAAAAAAGACCGGGTGTTCCTGAAGGGTAAGCGGATTTATTTTAAGTATTTATGTTTAAGGGATATATATACTAATACAGCTACATCATTTTCTACACATCTAGAATCGTATAGGTTATCATTTTGTTTGTGAAGTTGTAAATTAACGGAAAGGCATTTATACATCAATGTAAATGGTTGTTTTTGTGTCGTGTTTGGCACAAAAGAATCATTGCAAAATAATATTTCCCCGACATACTTTGATTCCAGAACAAAGGTTATAAAATCTTCTATTTAACAAGAGCGTATACTAAATGGCTATAGGAAAGATGGTAGATTTGATGGAGACCTACTAGCATGAAGTGTTGTTTTATCAAAATCTTTCAAAGCATTTACATGAATAATCTTCAGACAAAGCATACTGATTGTGATAACTTCAATTTAGTCTGCCTAGTAACTACTGTGTTGTTTACCTTCATCTCGTTTTGGTCTATGTCATTTCTTACTTCGGTTGACCTAGATTTACATGTCGCTTACCCATCAGGATAATATGGTCGTATTCTCCTCGAACATTTTCAGGAGTCTCCATGTAAGTTTCTCTCTTTTGTTCAAATTTTGCCCTAGTTTGATCGAATTTGAGCTTGAATAATGACTATGCTAACATGACAGTATCTTTTTTTGTTTTCATGCAAAACTTTCATTTGGACTTTGGTTGCAGATTAACCCAAAACCATAATATTTCTTTTTTGTCAGATAACTAACCACCTAATGAGGAAAAGGCAACAAAATTAAAAATTTTGAACTACGTATTCATAGTCGTATATTAATATCTGCACACAATATTCCTGTTGTAGAATATCCGCTGGTCAGACAACTGTCGTCGAACAGGACACCACACTTCTGCTAGAACAGCAGAGGTTGATGGCATTGAGTATAGAAGACAAAGAAAACATAACAAGGCTACAAAAGGATCTTGACAGTGAGAAACACAGGAACGACTCCCTATATCATGCGTTCCTCCCACGACAAGTTGCCAATATGATCAAGGACGGCAAGTCTTACCATGGAGGTAATACACTGTTTCGAAACTTTAAAAAGTTTTTTTCCAGCAGAATATTTTGATTTTACCTCTCAATATATATTAAGGAAAAAAGGTTTAAGATGACATGAGGACGTTTCATGAATTATGTCATGATATTACACGGATTTTAGTATCGCAAACATCAAGGAATAATGAAATTTTATCAATCAATATTTGAATATGAAAACAAATCCAACAAAGATATGTTATTGAATACATCAATATTTACCGCAATATGGAAAATATTTCTTTATCAAGCAATATATATATAATATATATATATATATATATATATATAAGAGAACATGTACATTTCGTCCTTTGATATAAATACGTGAAATTACTGAAGGTACCAATGAAATAGTAAATATAATATTGAAGGTAAACATCTACTTGTGTATTTCCAGAATATTACCCCGAGGTGACGGCCATGTTTTGTGACGTAGTACAGTTTATGAACCTAGTAGCTAACTGTAAACCTGCAGACGTTGTTGGAGTCCTCAACTCACTGTATACTAGGTTTGACAAAGTCACAAAAGTACACGACACCTATCGAGTAAGTAAGACAAAGAGGATTGATATCTTCTTAATAAATCAAGGTTAATAAATAATTGGTAACTAACAAAACCCATTGTTCTTTCATTGAGAAAAAAGTATCCTTTTTAGATACATTGAGAACTAACAAAACTCATTATTTGATAATTGAGAAAAAATATACTTTTTAGATACATTGAGAACTAACAAAACTCATTTTACGATAAAAACGCTATAGTGTAAGTTTTCATGTAAATATCAAGGGTTTGATAGGTATCTTGTTTCAATGTTAATGAGAATATTCCATCGCAATACCAAAATTATGGCATCTAATAGTATGGTATATTTACTTAATTGTGTTGAAGGTGGAGTCTATCGGTGATGCATACTTTGTGGTGTCCGGAGTACCAGAAAAGATTGACAACCACGCAGACAGGATAGCAAATACCGCCCTAGGAATGATGTACCTGTCCCAGGAAGTTTCAAATCCAATGAGTGGTGCAAAGATCATGGTAGGTTACAAAGATTGTACAAAAGACACAGCGAAGATTCCTTTTAATAATTTACGGTTAGATAGATTAGAACTAAATAATGAATTAAACTGCAAGACACAGCGGTTTCATCCTTCTAGTAGGCGACTGAAAAATATCAAAAGTGATCGAAGAAAAGTACAAATCTGGATGGGACAATGCACTTGCTCCATAATTAAATTAATTTCTATTTTTTCATATATCAGATTTTTTTTATTTCAAACGACGGCAGTGTGATCAATACATATATAGATCATATCGTTTTCCTTAAGTGAGGTCGTGAAATGCAATTTTGAATTATATTTCCGATGTATTTTTTTCACAAATGTATTTGGCAGTTGTACACCGATAGTCATATAACACTACAAAACACCTCCATACCTTCTATATATCAGTTTTGATATATGTATCAATAAAAAAGTAATTTAATCGTAAGTTTTGTATTACAATCGCTTAACAAAAACGATGGCATATCCTACTTAAGAATCATAGACTGCTTGTATCAACCTTCTTCTGTTGACATGTTGTTATCTTCTTGTTGTTTCTTTATAAATTTCAGTGTCTGAGTTAATTATCCCCGTAACCTACAATGCGCAGGAATATTGTACAAAGAAATCAATTCTATGCAAACACGACTTGCGACTGCAGAACACTTAGAATCTCCTTTGAGGGAGTAATTATCATAAACTTACTGTTTTCAACTTCTTCAAATTACAGATACGAATTGGCATACACACTGGCTCTATGGTTTGCGGTGTCGTAGGAACAAAGCTCCCTCGATTTATTGTTCTGGGTGAAACAGCAGTAGTAGCCTCTAAAATGGAAAGTCACGGTGAACCTGGAAAAATACACATCAGCCCGTCAACGTATAGGTAACGAGATTTATCATTTTATACAAAATTGTTGTTTCATTATAGGGTATATTTCATAACAACGATCGCTTACAATTTCGAATCACGATTTAACGAGACATGTACAAATTTATTCTTCATTTTTCTCAGAAGCATATAGCATTGTAGAAAGGAATCTGAGATTTAAAATTTTGACTTCCAGATTGCTGAAAGGCAAAGGGTTTACGCTAGAAGACAGAGGTCGCATTGAGCTGAAAGGGTTTGGACCAATCGGGACCTTCTTTTTGATAAAGAATGACCACGCATCAGAAGATGACCTCGTAGGTAGGTCGAAATTGACCAATCAGGACATCGCTTTCATCAACGAAGGTTATGTACATGATCACAAGAAAGTTAACCAGACGCCATCTTCTGGAGGCAAGTCAGCAAAGCTTCTTTAATGATAGATCACGTGGTGGTTCGGTGCTTGATGCTTATTTCTCTTTATCCTGTCAAGATATTAGTATATTAGTATCGACTGTCAAAGTTGAAAAAAAAATGTTTTAAAAAAACTACTTAAGTGTTGCATTATGCAATCAAGATTTTGAAAGCATCCCTATTTCTCTATAAATTCCCAATATAAACCCATATGCTACATCTGAGTTCTGATACTTACATATTAGACTGATTGTATTAGATAAATGCTTGTATGTCTGTTCTAGTGGGAAGTCGACCCCCTACCGGAGACAGCGAGTTTGCAACCTTCGCTTACTAAGAAATCAAGCTTACAGTGACATAGTGATAGAAAACCATTCATATTTCAAGAAAAAACAACTGCATGGAGTTCGCGACCAAAATCTTCCTAAGATTATATTCATCGGTGCAAAATTTCTAAATACTTTAATCTATGAAGAATCTATGGGTGAATGGAAAAACGAACCAGACGACGAATTCATCATATGTCAGATATATATCCTGCACCATCCTACCTGAAATATCTACCTTAAAACATCAATATTGTTGTGTAAAATATTTCCAATAGACAAATCAGATTGTGATATTTTCAGCAGAAGTGATCGATCATTACGTTATCACTAATGTGTGGTGACGATATCAACTAAAAAGCAACATTAACAAGGACGCGTTCAAAGAATGTGTTTATTAACAGTTTAATACTTCCAAAACTTAAAACAATATATAGGTAAGAGACATGCTAATGTCTCTATTGATAAGATTCATTTTATGTTACCAAATAAGATATCGCTGTATGGCCTTGGCTACTGAGAATCAACATTAGCTCAGAGTTTGACAAGCAAGATCACCATAATACTTCGAAACATAGTCAATGGTCTCTATTAAGCACTTAAACCACCATCCTGAAGTAGCATAAAGGCAGAATGGAGCCCTGGACATGAAGGAGAGATACAATCCATTGATTCTATTCAAGCAGGTATATCGCTGAATAGTTTAAGAAACTAATTTGACAGTATAATCTCCTATTATTGTGACAGGAGGGTAATGGGTTGATATTTGAATATCCTCTATGCGGACATTTTGTTCCATGTACATTTGCACTAATACGCATTATAGTATTTTAAAAAGAGACTCCTTACAAGAGATATCTAAATTATATAGTTAATTTATTCTCCATCCAATTGGTTTCGGAAATGCAGATAGGATTGTCTGGTATTTAAATTATATCATAAATATTTTTCTAATGAAGTAGTACACCCCATGCTTATCATTATAGGGTTTAGTTTGTAAATAAACTCGATCATATATCCATGTACATTCTCATTCTTTCGTATAGTCAAAATATGAGCTCATTATGTAGTTTCTACTGGTATGTGTTTTTAAATGTTAGATAATTTGTGTAATTATTTACATTATTATTAGTAATTTTATCATAATCAACGTGATTTATTATGTGTGTCGTCTTAGTGACACGTGATGATTTTCAAACACAAATCACATTCATCAGTCTTTCCACAGATGTGTCTAAATTTGAATTACAGAACAGACATTCTTGTCACTAGTCAAAAGGTGGCCTTAGTTACCACGGTCTACAGTGACCCATGGTTGTGAAGCGTACCATTCAAATTATGGATACTTATGTGTGCTGTAAAAATTTACGAGGCTGGCAGACCTTCAAAGCAGCCGTAGGAAGGACGATCTTTTCAAGTCAATGACAGTTGTTAGGACAACTTCCCAAGGGGGCATAGTTTAGTGTTAGCGATTGTCTATGACCTTTAAAGAAACCTTTATTGAAATATTTAAATCAATTTGATATAATTTAGTAATAAAACACCATTTATACTTTCAGAAAATACATTACTACTTTGTCAGGGCGTTTACACCTATATAGTAGGGTTTACTAGGGTCATCGTACGAGAAATACTTCTATTACATTGTACGATATGATTTGTATATACTTTTTATTTCAATTTGATATGAATGTCATTTATTCAGGAATAAAGTAAAGCGACAGTTAATGAAATCTGCTGCATTTATATATCTATATCTAATAGTTTTCATATTATTTTGTTGAACTATTTACACATTAACTTTTTTTAAAATTATCGTTTTCGTTACTGCCAAGTTGTTATAATATCCACAATTATAAGCAGTTTTAACATGAGAATTTTAGAGAATTGCTAAGCTATTTTAAAATAATGTTTGTACTTTATTAATTTATTTCTCTCTCCCTATTATTAGATCGCAAAGTTTAAACAAAATCAATGTATTATGAATTCAAACGATGACGTCAATACTTATCACGTGACCAAATGGTGATATAATTCCATCCACATATTGTATATGTTAATATATTTTGTTATTATTGAAAAATTAATTGCATCTTGTATATGAAGTACTACAATTGATTGATTTTGTGACGTTATTATGCTTAGCCAGGAAAGTGATCTATCCGTTTTTTACCATAAAGATTAAGTAAGTAAAGAGTATGTGCCCATAACAGTCTGTAGTGTTTTAGTACAGGTATTTGGCAACGTGTGATTTGTCTCGCAAAATTATACAAGTCCAACTATTAATCCTGAAATGTTGTTTGAACATTCTTTGCACACATGAACGTTTGTTATACTCTGTAACTCCACTGTTTTACTGATTTTTTTTTTTTTATTTTCGCCGGTGAATGAAATTAATTTATTAACTTTATAAAACTATCATCATCAAAATGATGACAAGAATACTCACTTTTAATGATAATATAATTTCGGTAGTTTTGCCCATGCACAGCGGTACTTTTTAGTCACTGCATAATGTTCGACGGTTTTCCTGTTTGGATACGAAGATGAATAAGTTTTTTTCATCAGATAATTCTTGTGTTTTCTTTAGTTTGATATATGAATCAGTTTTGCTAGCGACTACTACCAAGTAAAACGGAAGAGTACCACATAAAGCAGACTATTAAATGTATCGTTGTCTTGTTGTCAAGCGTGCTAATATTTTCCGAACACAGTTTTGAACAATGTTCGGTTCAGCGTCTGTTCATTTATTTCCTTAAAGCGCGCGCACACACACACACACACACACACACACACACACACACACACACACACACACACACACACACACACACACACACACACACACACAAACACACACGCGCGCGCACACGCACGCACACACACACACGCGCGCACACATATATATATTCACTCGTGCTCCGCTCTCGTGAAAATCATAGATATTCTGTCAAACTGGTGATAATATATTATATCAAACGGGTAACCATTAAGAGTCCTCTATTAACCCTTTACATGCTTTTTATATTCTTAAAAAAACATGCAGATGACGGATCTCATACAAATTGATAATATCATATCAACTTCCTGATCAACGAGAGTCCTTTTTAACATGAAATTTGATGTAGGTTCTGTTTTGTATTCCATCATATTTGTTTTATAACGTAGTTTCACTAAACGATGTATCTCTTTTGCATGAACACTTTAGTTTGCAATGTTCGCGATCATCAAAAACAAAGAAATCCGTGACATTTTAATAGAAAATTAATTAACACCTAAATTGATCGAAACTGGGTAAATATGAACAAATAAAGAGATTGTCATGGATAATCAGACAGGAGTACAAGAGAAACAAACAAGTAAGTATTGTCATGGTCATTATGACTACCATAAAAATTCCATCAACATGAACCATTTTCATTCCTGTTTAAACTGCACTGTATGTAGTCAATGAATATTTATGATATTATCTGAAGAAAGATATCGCCATTCCTTTCAAAATTGAAACTGAAGGACTTCTTGCCTATTTGATAACATCTTCGATAAAATCTTCCTAGTACGAAAGCAAACACATGTCGGCCAAAATTAGAATTATGACGAACAATAAATACATTTCCAAAAATTAAAATTCATATGTGATTTCATTTCACTACAAAATGTTAACAAGGCGGAGATGTGCATTCCATAAGTGCCCTTAATGATTTTCGATAGTAGCCATACAAATTAGGCCACAACATAATGGGGTATTTTAAAACAGCTTTGCTAATATGTGCATCACCTTCAACATTTGAGGATATATCACGTGACTAGATAGCAAAAAACTATACAATAATGCAAACCCTATTTAAAATTGTTATCGTGTTTCTTATAAACCTTAAAACTTCACGTGATTTCCTAAGCCAAAAATGTTTAATGTTAGACTGACCTTCGAATATTTGAAATATGCAATGCTATCAACCCTAAATTTTCAAATCAATCGGCATGTGTAGACTCTTATGTCCTTGGTTACCCATTTTATGTTATATTTTAAACATATACACCCAGTAGCCATTTCATGTAGATTTAAACTATAATAAGAGGAAGAATTTTAATGGTGTTATTTCTATATCATTAATAAAAAAACCTATCCATATCTTGGCAAACATAGATGTTGCTACTTAGCATAATGTATTTAGCATGGTAATGGAGTTTCAATTCACATTATTCCTATATAAAAGTACGATGGGGAGTTCAGCTCAGTTTGAATTTCTTTCATATTACAAAGTTCTTCAAAGAATCGTTAAATCAGAAAGTTGTTTAATATGTAGTCAAACATTGCCGATTTTTCCAATACTAAAGGACGGGTATTGCCTTCCATACAAGAAACTAGAGGATACTTCCAGTTCAGACGATGTGTTAACGTTTAGCGCCAAATTAATATAAGTGGAATATGATGTATTTGTTGCTCTAAAATGATGAAAACATATTTTTATGAGTCATGATCCTCTGCCTCGACAGGCTATAGTTCTCCATGTTTGTTTTCAAATTCTCCATTCTTTAGTGGTTACTTGTCTGGAGCCTATTTCACAAATCCGTCTTGAACACATTATGTTTAAGGCCATGTATGATAATTTTTGCATAGATTAGTTACCTTAAAGCAACCTCACCTGTGAAACTTAAATTATGATGTACATATCTACTGATTGCGATAAAGATTTCAGTGAAATCAAAAAGCTCTTTCGTATAGAACTGGCAGTATCTTTCTGGTTCGTACATAGGATTAATTTATCATCAGTTTTTTTTACAATTGTTTTTTTTTAAAATAATGGTCAAGAATTTTCTGATCAATGATTATGTAAACTTTCATTTTGAATACGTATGCTGACAAAATGTTCCCCTTGAGGAACGAAACCATGGTATAGTTTATTAACCTTTCAACTGACTATTACTATGCACAAATTAATGTAACGATCAATCAAGGTAACATATCAAGTCACTTTGTACAATTTCAGTGAATAGTACTATATCGCGAGTAAGTTTTCATATTTGTTATATGAATTTGAATGAATACATGATAAACACAACCAGAAATAGCACTATTTATTTAAAAACACTTTATGGTACTTTTTATATAAAAAAAACAACGGTTGGGAATTTAAAGTGAGCTCCGGCCTTTGAAATAATCTCCCACTTCGTGGAGGACGTCAGCGAGCAATTGAGGACGCGGTCCATGTTCCACAACGCTACCAAAGGTATGAGAAAAGTCACCCATCTGGTCCTCGAACAAAGCATGCGCTAAAATGTTTGTAGTACAAAAAGATAAATTAATTCTAAACCTTGTCAACATAATTTTTATATATAACCTTTTTCTCAAACCTCTCTCTAAAGTTCCAAATCAATAGATTACAATGAATGAATCAGGCAATATTCAAACACCGAATAGATCCACACTAGCCTATTGCAGATCACGTTTGTTTTCGTTAGTGTCAAATGTTTGCCGTTCGTATCATTTGACGAACATTGAACAGGGGGAATTTTAGTTAAGGAAGAGATAAATAATTGTTTCATTTATTCTTGTCAACTGTGAAAACATTATCTGGCTAGTATTAAATATTCCGTTTTTGTACGCTTATCAACATTACAGTGTCGAAGAATATACAAACGACAGATATTGAACAGCACAGTTTTAATACAGATTTAGATACAGCGAAACCAAATAACGAGGTTGCATCATACCGCTGTTTCGTCCGTCTAAAACTCAAATAACACTGATTTACGGTATATTAGAATAGAGACAAACAACTGTGTAAACAAATTAAACTTAAACATTCAAAACTCAAACCTATACGTTAACTTATGTACTGATATATTGTGCTTAAAAACTGTTATTAAGTATCAATTCAAGTACAACGGTTGCAGTTTACACGTTAACAGTGGGCTAGACACTCGCTAGTCTCGAAAATACACTGTATTTCAATACAATGGATACTGAACAGTGTTTAAATTGGCTTAAAATCACAAAACAAAAAGTTTAATTTTGACTTGAAATCGCCATAATTGGATTTCTTAAATTAGTAATTGGTCATTTGTTTATACATCGATGGCAAAATGAAATGAAAATCATATTCACTTTTATTAGTCAATATGAATAATAACAGTAGCATCTATTGTTTCAGGTGTTGCGTAGAAATATCAGAGATATTCATCGACAAGAAATGACGAATGTCAGAAAGACATGATCTTAATAGCTTGGTCATTAGAATTAGACTTTCTAATTCATCGCACATATCCGGTATTCTTGCAAACAATTAATTTTTCACCAAAAGTTATCTTGAACATTGCGAAATGGTACTACATGGTTACTACCATATATAACAAGGATAAGGTAAAACAAAACATAGTCAAAATATTGATCTGAAACAAAAGGAAATCTAATACAACTGAAATTCATGGATGGAAAATTAATAACATTACCTGCATGTATTGACTTCTTCCCTTTGAAAAAGTCGCCGACTTGGTGAAGAAGACTTCCATCTGATGTCGGAACAGGGTTGTTTTCACTTCGTAATGATTTGGCTTTAAGATGATAATATTTTAGAACAGTTCCGTTAGTTGTACAAGTGTTTATTTTCAAGAAAAAGAGACACAACTGAATGACATTTTTCCATTCAAATTTAGAATCAGATAATTAGAGCCATATCATGAATATTTAACTGCATCATACAACTACTTACACTTACTAATACTCATCAGTGATGTCAAAGGTCTAAATATTGAAGCCTGGAAGGCAAATGTGGAACAGCAAAATTTGAGCAAAATCTCGATGGGGAGGTACACATACCGCAAAATATAATAAATGTCATGATTTTCATATATGTAACAATTTTTGAAAACAAAACACCAGTCAAGTACATATACATTAAAAGTTCAGTTTAGGGTCGCTCTCACCTCGTATTGCTTTGCCTTTAAAATAACCATATTTTTTAACAAAAGATAAAAGTGAATAGCAGCTTTCAACACAAATTCAGAATGGAAAACTAACATCCGAATACTACCATTAAACTGCGTCATACATATGCTCTTATAATAATTTGTGTTTTACATCAAATACTTATGCCACTACATATCTCACTTCCTACAGTTTGTAAGCATGAAATATATACGAGAGCTGATTGAGATGTTGTGAGACTCATATGTAATGATTTGACGATTGGCGGACATATTGTATTATTTTTTATCATAATCCCTTTCAGTATCTATACACTTATGTCAGCGATGTTTCAGGGGCCCGATGCCACTTTTAAAGAAGTCGTTCGCTTTCTTGTCCGTTCAGAGAGTCCTCCACTGCATGTATGACGTTATAATCTGACCGAAAGTGGGTTTTGGAAATAGATGAAAGTCTGATGGAACGAGACCAGACCAACAAAGCGGATGCTCAATGAATTTAAAACCATAATCGATAATGGCAGTCATGGCAATGACAGACATGTGAACCAGGGGCTTTGTTCTGGTGGAACAACACACTACTGAGTTTTCCACGGTGCTTGACTTTTAATGTTTTCTCTGCCTCAGAAGTGATGCATAATATGTGTCATTGATTGTTTATCCCGTTTGCAGTCAATCTGCCATCAGAATATAATCAGCATCTCCGAAAACCAAGGCCTTAACATTCCAAGCTGATGGAACGTCTTTGCCTTTGACGGGGGTGAACCAGGTTGCATACATGGTTTACACTGTTTTTTGTGTTGTTTGGCCTGTGGATAAAGTCTTGGTACCCAATGGGCTGAGAACTTTCTCATTGCAAGATCTTCCGAAATAACAAAATGTACTCTTTCATGTCCCCAACTGTAGTGGCTAAATATATCTCTGTACCTCTTCTGTCATCCATAATATTACATTGGATTTTATTGACCAATTTTCTTGAGTTGCAAAAATGACTGGTTTTCCAGGACGGGCGTCATTCCCAAGGCTTTGTCTGCCACTTTTAAATTCCGCCACCCACCTTTTCACTGTGGCATATATGGCATTATTTCCTAGTGTTGGATATCCTTAGGTGCTAGCCATTTCTTACGTAACTATTGAATCAGCTATTTTATCCATTTTGCAAAAGTCACTTTCCTTGTTTACTTTAGACTGCTACCTCTTCAGCATTAACTGACCAAATGACACCAGTCTATGGGAGCACAACCTTAAATAGTCAGGGAACAGTAGATGTGAAAAACGACTATAGTTCAAAACTAAAGGAAATGCTCAACTATAAGTTAAAGCATAAACTTAAAGCAATATCGAGACATTTCAATAAGGTGGATGGAAGATAAATTACAGTACCTGCAATAACTGATTTCTTCCCTTTGAAAAAGTCGCCGACCTGGTGAAGAAGACTTCCATCTGATGTAGGTACAGGGTCGTTCTCACCTCGTAATGCCTTGCCTAAAAATATAACAATTTTATTCGTTAAAGAAGATTTCGTTCGGCAAATTTAATGTATGTGTTTAAGTATTCGAAAGTGAATTCATATATTTGAACAATTTTGTTCTCAAATATTACCTGAGTGCAAAGATTTCTTTCCTTTGAAAAAGTCGCCGACCTGGTGAAGAAGACTTCCATCTGATGTAGGTACAGGGTCGTTCTCACTTCGTAATGCCTTGCCTTAAAATTTAACAGTTTCGTTAATTAAAGAAGATTTGGTTCTGCAAATTGTAATGAATGTGTTCAAGTATGCGAAAGAAAATTCATACATTTGAACAATTTTGTTCTCAAATATTACCTGAGTGCAAAGATTTCTTTCCTTTGAAAAAGTCGCCGACCTGGTGAAGAAGACTTCCATCTGATGTTGGTACAGGGTTATTCTCACCTCGTAATGCCTTGCCTTAAAAATCAACAGTTTCGTTCACTAAAGAAGATTTGGTTCTGCAAATTGTAATGTATGTGTTTAAATATTCGAAAGAAAATGAACATATTTGACCAATTTTGTTCTCAAATATTACCTGAGTGCAAAGATTTCTTTCCTTTGAAAAAGTCGCCGACCTGGTGAAGAAGACTTCCATCTGATGTAGGTACAGGGTCGTTCTCACCTCGTAATACCTTGCCTTAAAATTTAACATTTTCGTTCACTAAAGAAGATTTCGTTCGGCAGATTGTAATGTATGTGTTTAAGTATTCGAAAGTGAAGTCATATATTTGAACAATTTTGTTCTCAAATATTACCTGAGTGCAAAGATTTCTTTCCTTTGAAAAAGTCCCCGACCTGGTGAAGAAGGCCTCCGTCCGCTGTAGGGACTGACTTATCTAGTGCTCTGCCTTTGAAATAATCGTTTACTTGATGCAATAACGTATCCTCTACCGGTTTAATAGGTTTGGGTATCTTATTGTGATCGTTAGAATTCTGTTCGAAGTTGTTTCGTGAAAGGCGTAAATCAGTGTCGCTTGGAGTTTGGACATCCGGGCCTGTTAGTTTAAAATAATCTCCAAATTGATGTAGAATGTTTTGAAGGGTTATCTGGTGTAGATGATGATGCCTGGCAGCCTCTATAACACAAGTTATTTATCTTTTCTGTTTTCAAATATATTTGTTGATATTTGTTTGTAAATTATAAAAATGTGTTGTATGTATAAATGTTTGGTATATGCATTAGTGTTCATGTACATCATCAATTTCACGTACAGAATTTGTAATTTGGATAACTGATACACTACATTCTTTCTCTTACAGTGCTGTTTTAAAGTAACTTACTATAACATTTTAGTCAACGACTTGAGGGATATTGAAAGCCTGTTCAAGTTTATTGACATTTCCATGAATCGTCTATATCGTATCATTTACTGCGAAAACTACTTTTTCCGTGATACATTACATTCCTAGAAAAAAAGCAAAGTAGCATTTTTATTTGGTATTAATGAGATCGAAATACTTCCAGCCTATTATCAGTTGTTTCCAGCACAACACAGCTAAACATTTTTTATCAACATGTATCTATTACAACTAGGTTATACAGGTGAGAGGTTATCGCGTATTCTATTAAACATTATCTGATTTAGGTTATACACGAGAGACTAGCGTGGTCTAGTTATACACGAGAGACTACGTGGTCATATCAACATGTATCTATTAGGTTATACACGACAGAACGTGGTCATATCAACATGTTATACACGAGAGACTAGCGTGGTCATATCAACATGTATCTATTACAACTAGGTTATACACGAGAGACTAGCGTGGTCATATCAACATGTATCTATTACAACTAGGTTATACACGACAGACTAGCGTGGTCATATCAACATGTATCTATTACAACAAAGTTATACACGAGAGACTAACGTGGTCATATCAACATGTATCTATTACAACTAGGTTATACACGATAGACTAGCTTGGTCATATCAACATGTATCTATTACAACTAGGTTATAACCGACAGACTAGCGTGGTCATATCAACATGTATCTATTACAACTAGGTTATACACGACAGACTAGCGTGGTCATATCAACATGTATCTATTACAACAAAGTTATACACGAGAGACTAACGTGGTCATATCAACATGTATCTATTACAACAAAGTTATACACGAGAGACTAGCGTGGTCATATCAACATGTATCTATTACAACTAGGTTATACACGAGAGACTAACGTGGTCATATCAACATGTATCTATTACAACAAAGTTATACACGAGAGACTACAGTGGTCATATCAACATGTATCTATTACAACTAGGTTATACACGAGAGACTAGCGTGGTCATATCAACATGTATCTATTACAACACGAGAGTTATACACGATTACAACTAGACTAGCGTGGTCATATCAACATGTATCTATTACAACAGACTAGCGTGGTTATCAACATGTATCTATTACAACTAGGTTATACACGAGAGACTAGCGTGGTCATATCAACATGTATCTATTACAACTAGGTTATACACGAGAGACTAGCGTGGTCATATCAACATGTATCTATTACAACAAAGTTATACACATGAGAGACTAGACTAGTGGTCATATCAACATGTATCTATTACAACTAGGTTATACACGACAGACTAGCGTGGTCATATCAACATGTATCTATTACAACAAAGTTATACACGAGAGACTAGCGTGGTCATATCAACATGTATCTATTACAACTAGGTTATACACGAGAGACTAGCGTGGTCATATCAACATGTATCTATTACAACTAGTATACACGAGAGACTAGCGTGGTCATATCAACATGTATCTATTACAACAAAGTTATACACGAGAGACTAACGTGGTCATATCAACATGTATCTATTACAACTAGGTTATACACGAGAGACTAGCGTGGTCATATCAAAATGTATCTATTACAACAATGTTATACATGAGAGACTAGCGTGGTCATATCCACATGTATCTATTGCAACTAGGTTATATACGATAGACTAGCGTGGTCATATCAACATGTATCTATTAAAACTAGGTTATACACGAGAGACTAGCGTGGTCATATCAACATGTATCTATTACAACAAAGTTATACACGAGAGACTAACGTGGTCATATCAACATGTATCTATTACAACTAGGTTATACACGACAGACTAGCGTGGTCATATCAACATGTATCTATTACAACAAAGTTATACACGAGAGACTAACGTGGTCATATCAACATGTATCTATTACAACTAGGTTACAACGAGAGACTAGCGTGGTCATATACATGTATCTATTACAACTAGGTTATACACGAGAGACTAGCGTGGTCATATCAACATGTATCTATTACAACTAGGTTATACACGACAGACTAGCGTGGTCATATCAACATGTATCTATTACAACTAGGTTATACACGAGAGACTAGCGTGGTCATATCAACATGTATCTATTACAACAAAGTTATACACGAGAGACTACAGTGGTCATATCAACATGTATCTATTACAACTAGGTTATACACGACAGACTAGCGTGGTCATATCAACATGTATCTATTACAACAAAGTTATACACGAGAGACTAACGTGGTCATATCAACATGTATCTATTACAACAATGAGCGTGGGTTATACACGAGAGACAGACTAGCTAGCAGGGGTCATATCAACATGTATCTATTACAACTAGGTTATACACGAGAGACTAGCGTGGTCATATCAACATGTATTATCAGTATCTATTGCAACTAGGTTATATACGATAGACTAGCGTGGTCATATCAACATGTATCTATTAAAACTAGGTTATACACGAGAGACTAGCGTGGTCATATCAACATGTATCTATTACAACTAGGTTATACACGACAGACTAGCGTGGTCATATCAACATGTATCTATTACAACAAAGTTATACACGAGAGACTACAGTGGTCATATCCACATGTATCTATTACAACTAGGTTATACACGATAGACTAGCGTGGTCATATCAACATGTATCTATTACAACTAGGTTATACACGACAGACTAGCGTGGTCATATCAACATGTATCTATTACAACTAGGTTATACACGACAGACTAGCGTGGTCATATCAACATGTATCTATTACAACAAAGTTATACACGAGAGACTAACGTGGTCATATCAACATGTATCTATTACAACTAGGTTATACTAGGTTATACGCGATAGACTAGCGTGGTCATATCAACATGTATCTATTACAACTAGGTTATACACGAGAGACTAGCGTGGTCATATCAACATGTATCTATTACAACAATGTTATACACGAGAGACTAGCGTGGTCATATCAACATGTATCTATTACAACTAGGTTATACACGAGAGACTAACTTGGTCATATCAACATGTATCTATTACAACAAAGTTATACACGAGAGACTAACGTGGTCATATCAACATGTATCTATTACAACTAGGTTATACACGACAGACTAGCGTGGTCATATCAACATGTATCTATTACAACTAGGTTATACACGAGAGACTAGCGTGGTCATATCAACATGTATCTATTACAACTAGGTTATACACGAGAGACTAGCGTGGTCATATCAACATGTATCTATTACAACTAGGTTATACACGAGAGACTAGCGTGGTCATATCAACATGTATCTATTACAACTAGGTTATACACGAGAGACTAGCGTGGTCATATCAACATGTATCTATTACAACAAGGTTATACACGAGAGACTAGCGTGGTCATATCAACATGTATCTATTACAACTAGGTTATACACGAGAGACTAACTTGGTCATATCAACATGTATCTATTACAACAATGTTATACACGAGAGACTAGCTCAACATGTATCTATTACAACTAGGTTTTACACGACAGACTAGCGTGGTCATATCAACATGTATCTATTACAATAAAGTTATACACGAGAGACTAACGTGGTCATATCAACATGTATCTATTACAACAAAGTTATACACGAGAGACTAGCGTGGTCGTATCAACATGTATCTATTACAACTAGGTTATAACCGACAGACAAGCGTGGTCATATCAACATGTATCTATTACAACAATGTTATACACGAGAGACTAGCGTGGTCATATCAACATGTATCTATTACAACTAGGTTATACACGAGAGACTAGCGTGGTCATATCAACATGTATCTATTACAACAAAGTTATACACGAGAGACTACAGTGGTCATATCAACATGTATCTATTACAACAATGTTATACACGAGAGACAGACTAGCGTGGTCATATCAACATGTATCTATTACAACTAGGTTATACACGACAGACTAGCGTGGTCATATCAACATGTATCTATTACAACAATGTTATACACGAGAGACTAGCGTGGTCATATCAACATGTATCTATTACAACTAGGTTATACACGAGAGACTAGCGTGGTCATATCAACATGTATCTATTACAACAAAGTTATACACGAGAGACTAGCGTGGTCGTATCAACATGTATCTATTACAACTAGGTTATACACGAGAGACTAGCGTGGTCATATCAACATGTATCTATTACAACTAGGTTATACACGACAGACTAGCGTGGTCATATCAACATGTATCTATTACAACAAAGTTATACACGAGAGACTACGTGGTCATATCCACATGTATCTACAACTAGGTTATACACGAGAGACTAGCGTGGTCATATCAACATGTATCTATTACAACTAGGTTATACACGAGAGACTAGCGTGGTCATATCAACATGTATCTATTACAACTAGGTTATACACGAGAGACTAGCGTGGTCATATCAACATGTATCTATTACAACAAAGTTATACACGAGAGACTAACGTGGTCATATCAACATGTATCTATTACAACTAGGTTATACACGAGAGACTAGCGTGGTCATATCAACATGTATCTATTACAACTAGGTTATACACGAGAGACTAGCGTGGTCATATCAACATGTATCTATTACAACAAAGTTATACACGAGAGACTAGCGTGGTCATATCAACATGTATCTATTACAACTAGGTTATACACGAGAGACTAGCGTGGTCATATCAACATGTATCTATTACAACAAGGTTATACACGAGAGACTAGCGTGGTCATATCAACATGTATCTATTACAACTAGGTTATACACGACAGACTAGCGTGGTCATATCAACATGTATCTATTACAACAATGTTATACACGAGAGACTAGCGTGGTCATATCAACATGTATCTATTACAACTAGGTTATACACGAGAGACTAGCGTGGTCATATCAACATGTATCTATTACAACAAAGTTATACACGAGAGACTAACGTGGTCATATCAACATGTATCTATTACAACTAGGTTATACACGACAGACTAGCGTGGTCATATCAACATGTATCTATTACAACTAGGTTATACACGAGAGACTAGCGTGGTCATATCAACATGTATCTATTACAACTAGGTTATACACGAGAGACTAGCGTGGTCATATCAACATGTATCTATTACAACGAGAGACTAAGTTATACACGACAGACTAGACTAGCGTGGTCATATCAACATGTATCTATTACAACTAGGTTATACACGACAGACTAGCGTGGTCATATCAACATGTATCTATTACAACAAAGTTATACACGAGAGACTAACGTGGTCATATCAACATGTATCTATTACAACTAGGTTATACACGAGAGACTAGCGTGGTCATATCAACATGTATCTATTACAACTAGGTTATACACATGATCTATTACAACTAGGTTATACACTAGACGTGGTCATATCAACATGTATCTATTACAACAAAGTTATACACGAGAGACTAGCGTGGTCATATCAACAGACTAGCGTGGTCATATCAACATGTATCTATTACAACTAGGTTATACACGAGAGACTAGCGTGGTCATATCAACAACTAGGTTATACACGAGAGACTAGCGTGGTCATATCAACATGTATCTATTACAACGTTATACACGAGAGACTACGTGGTCATATCAACATGTATCTATTACAACAAGGTTATACACGAGAGACTATGTATCTATTACAACGTGGTCATATCAACATGTATCTATTACAACTAGGTTATACACGACAGACTAGCGTGGTCATATCAACATGTATCTATTACAACAAAGTTATACACGAGAGACTAACGTGGTCATATCAACATGTATCTATTAGTTATACGAGAGACTAGCGTGGTCATATTATTACAACTAGGTTATACACGAGAGACTAGCGTGGTCATATCAACATGTATCTATTACAACAAAGTTATACACGAGAGACTAACGTGGTCATATCAACATGTATCTATTACAACAAAGTTATACACGAGAGACTAGCGTGGTCGTATCAACATGTATCTATTACAACTAGGTTATAACCGACAGACTAGCGTGGTCATATCAACATGTATCTATTACAACAAAGTTATACACGAGAGACTACAGTGGTCATATCCACATGTATCTATTACAACTAGGTTATACACGAGAGACTAACGTGGTCATATCAACATGTATCTATTACAACAAAGTTATACACGAGAGACTACAGTGGTCATATCAACATGTATCTATTACAACTAGGTTATACACGACAGACTAGCGTGGTCATATCAACATGTATCTATTACAACTAGGTTATACACGAAGCGTGGTCATATCAACATGTATGTATCTATTACAATTAAGGTTATACACGAGAGACTAGCGTGGTCATATCAACATGTATCTATTACAACAAAGTTATACACGAGAGACTAGCGTGGTCATATCAACATGTATCTATTACAACTAGGTTATACACATGTAGAGACTAGCGTGGTCATATATATCTAATAGGTTATACACGAGAGACTACAGTGGTCATATCAACATGTATCTATTACAACTAAGTTATACACGAGAGACTAACGTGGTCATATCAACATGTATCTATTACAACTAGGTTATACACGACAGACTAGCGTGGTCATATCAACATGTATCTATTACAACTAGGTTATACACGACAGACTAGCGTGGTCATATCAACATGTATCTATTACAACAAAGTTATACACGAGAGACTACAGTGGTCATATCCACATGTATCTATTGCAACTAGGTTATATACGATAGACTAGCGTGGTCATATCAACATGTATCTATTACAACTAGGTTATACACGATAGACTAGCGTGGTCATATCAACATGTATCTATTACAACTAGGTTATACACGACAGACTAGCGTGGTCATATCAACATGTATCTATTACAATATGATAACCAGTTTTCAGAATATAACTAGTTGTACACGTCAATCATGTTCAAAATATCTAATGATGCTACCCTATCGAGTGTTCCCTGATAGGACTACATAGGTCAGTTAATGTGCTCTATCTCATCAAATATTCTTATTTTACATTTATCCTGGTATTGAGGGAGCAGTGACTGATTTCTTACTCCTTATTACTATCCCTGGTAACTCTCTGAAGTCATCTCCCATGACGAATCACTATATCTTAATGATAATCTTCTAATTGATGTTATGGAATGACATTCAAACGAATCCAGGTCCTAAAATAATTGAAGCATGTCCATTGATGATGTTATATTAATATCTTCTGTATTGATTGATACTGAGAATTGTATAAAAAATAATCTTGAGACTGATGATTTTGCTTTACTTTGGAGTGATGTAACCACATTAAATAAACCCGTTCTACTTAGCTGTATATACAGACCCCCAAATTCGCGCGTTAATTACTGGGACTTAATTGATAATGATATTGACAATATTAGTAAATGACAAAGTGAGGTAATTTATATGGAAAGCATTAATCAAGACATGTAGGATAAGAATACTGTTCCTCATCTTCACAGACTTGAAATATGAATTATAACATAACCTATCTGAACCTACTAGAGTTAATCCTTCATCCTCAACATCATGAGATGTGCTAATTAATAGCAACGTAAACATTTGTTATAATACATCCCTACCCTGTAGTGATCACTGCGCTGTTAGTGTTGAACTAAAATTTAAGACTTTTAAGAAATGTTTGTATAAGAAAACTCTTATCTTATTTTAACTATACTAATTATGATCGAGCAAATAAATATCTTAATCGATAAGGTGATATTGATGACATGAATTCTTTTCTTACCTATCAAATAATATCTTTTGTTGATTTATTTGTACCAAATCAAACCGTATCTGTTAGGTAAAACGACAAACTTGGGATATCCAATGAAATTAGACTAAACATACGACAAAGAAATCATCAGCACTTTAAAGCTAAATATATCTATATAGGAGTGAATTTTGCAGTTTAGATACATATTTTTCATTTGTTTCCCGGATTTAAGAAATAACTCAATTTTGAATAGTTCTTAGTTTGGACCCTACGTCGATGTTTGTCACCTCCTAAGCACTACGTAACCCTATCATAACTAAACTACGTCAGTATTGTCACCTCCAGGCCAGAAAGTAGATTCATATAAGTAACACATAATAATACATTTTATTGGCGCTTGTAAAACTTACAATGCAAAGCCAGCTTAGAACATTAATCAATAGCGTAAAAAGAAAATAGAAACACTTGTGAACATGACAGAAGATAATTATGTCTCATATATAACTGGAGTTAAGTATCTCAGAGTTCGTTACAAAATCATTATATTATGTTGTAGTACATGTTTACAGTCGAATAATCGTTGAACCATGAGAACCAATGCATCATGCTTAATGAATTCTGTTTGACAGGACACAATTATCACGAGATATGTAGTAAAACACTTAATCTTTAAACCTGCACCAAAGAGTGTTAATTTTCTTATCCATATTTCCGTGGGCGACACAATGATGGCGCGAAAAAATATGACGAGTTGTAAGTTCGTATTTTTATTAGATAGAAATAACCATTAAAACACTGCGTAAGTTCATTAAAGATACTTTAATGCGAAAGAGATTTTCATGAATTATGTAAAAAGAACATATTCTCCCAGAAATAAATCTACCGTACAAACATTAGTCCGACATCAAGGGGTTTTTTGTGTGTGTTTGGATGTTACCAGAAGCGATTGCACGGATCTATCAAATAAGAGACAAGGATTGTATCCCAAAGCATCCGACAATTTTTACCATTCCAATTATTCATATAGAATCCCTTCCTTCAAACACACCCATGGATTTGCACACAAGTGAATACCATATTTTTACTAATATTCAATAAAGTATATGCCAAATGATAAAACATCCTTCTAAAACTTGCCTCTGATGCTAAGATCCGTAGTGTGGAAACCTAGAAAGAGAATCTTATAATTTCATAGTAAGGTGTCATATTTAATTATGTTTTTATATATAAGATTGAAATGAAAATAGTGATTTTTAGAATGTTTTCCTGGTTGTTTTTAACAGCATACCTTGGAATTTAACAAAAAAATGTTGAATATTTATTCATAAAACAATTCAGTGTCTGATCTGTCATAAAAAATATTCAAGAATAGAATCAATTTTTGAGATATTTCAAACGTTAGTCGGAGATGGTATTGACATATCATAAAAACTAGGAGCCAAAGTCAACTACTCTGCGTCATTTATGACATTAGGTTAAAACCGGAATCTGATAAACATTTTCTTATAACAAAACAGTTAACTTGGCACTGAAGTCAATGCACCCCCGGTACAAACCTTATCTAGTTATGACATCACATTGATTGGTACATTTTCATCATACAAATTACTAATATCCATGCCATTTTTATATTTTATTCCGTTTTATTTTTATTCTATCAGTATATTTCTTTCTGTTACTGTTTTGGATTATGTTGAGTAGTAAAAATAGGGCTGTATCAACCCTCGATAACATAAAAAAACTACCTTGACGCCACCTTCATCAGCAGTAGGGATACGACAGCTTTTCTAACTGCCCTTTACTGAAGGGTTAAGTGAAATATCGACTATTGTCATTTGTTCCGTTCCAAACAAGTGAACAGAATCTATGAATTTATGACCAGGGCAAAAATTTGCACCAAGTGTTCCTTAAGGATTAGCGTCTTCTGGTTCATTGACCCTAATACATTGACGGGTAATCTTCAAAAATGTCATATTGCATTCTTTTATAACAATAGGGTTAAGAAAAGTGAAGAAAACAGCATGCTGACAGGCTTTGGAAACCTCTATATATAGCAACTGAAGTTATTTGAACCTTTGCATTCAATGAAGTGTCATATTTCATATTGCAAGAAGCTCGATAGAAAGAAAGGAAAACATCACGATCCCAAGTGTTGCAATAGGGGTCTTAAAAGGAATAGAAGACACCAGCAAATTCATTCCAACCTGTAATGTGTATGTTATAGTATAGCGGTTCCCTTATAGGATTTATTATGGTATGTCGTGATTCTAATTGTCTGTATATTCGGTTGACTGGTTCACCTGAACGTGTGAGGCATGACCATCAGTTAAAGGTGGTGCATTTAATTACTTAAGTAAATTTTAACGCATGGCTGAAGTCAATACATTACGTTTTTCTGGAAATGTAATCTCTTGTTAGAAGTTCTAAATGTATCCTTCGTTGACAATACTAGTTATTTTCGTGAAGGAGATCTGCCTACACATACACATACAGATGAACATATCAGCCACCGCTTGTGCATGCTTTCGGCTTCAGAGCTCCTTTTATTTTTGATGAAAACGTCTGGTGATTTATATCTTGTCCTAGAAAGCAACTGTCTTCTATACTTTTGAGTTTTAAAAAATTCAGCCTTCGAATTGTTTAAGAAATGAATTGATGATTTCCACGCCATGAATGAACAACACATATATATCTAATACAACACGCAACACATGAATAGACAAGTTGGATATATTTTAAAACAGTTTGTTGTACAAATGTAAGGATTAGTGACAAAATAATGAGGAGAAATGCATGTGGCTCAGGCATGACCTGTTTTAAACTTGATCATCTAATACTGACATTAACAGTTATCCTCAAAACGTTTCAGTCCGTTGATGGGCATGGTCGATGTGCCGTTATCAATCACGATGACCTGGACACAAACAGGTACTACAAGTCCTTTATGCACTTAGAGACCATTGGAGTGCTGCAGTGCATCAAAGTATGCAAAAGATACAAATTGTGTGAGAAAATTCACCATAACAGGGAACAGTTATCATGTGACCTCATGATGAAGATTGCGGTAAAGGGAAGCATGACGTCACTTCAGGATATACCATCGATACAGGCGAGTCATGTCAATTTTTTATGGTATCATCTCTTATATCAAATAGTATTGGTAAAAATCTTATATCTTATATTTCTATACAATGTTTCATGTATGTAATACTAACAACATTGATACCTACAACATTTATTCTATGATTTTCCTATCTACTAATGTTACTGACAAATCATGCTACTTAAAACAGCAAGTGTTGTTTTCTGTCTACTGAAACCAACCATCTATTATGGCTACGTCGATAACAAGTGTTGTTTTCTGTCTACTGACATAAACCGTCTTTTATATCTAAGTCGATAACAAGTGTTGTTTTCTGTCTACAAGCATAAACCATTTGAACATGTCCCATCTTTTTCAATGATATTCATTTTGTGTTTTGTAATATCTCCGTCTCAGAAATAATCCATGATTTTTATTATTTGATATAATATGCATAAATAAACACAATCATTGCCCATCTTATTCCCGAAACCTTTTGTTGGTATGTATGAACAATGCTAAAACAAACTTCATCGTTTAAAAAGAGTCGACTTGGATTTGTCTGGGTCAGGAAACTGAACACAAAACTCATGTATGCATTTGTTTTACTTTCCAAACGATTCGCAGTGTAATACATAAAAGAAAACGATCACTCTCCCCTCTTATGCTCACCTGTACACAGTATATATTAAAGCAACGTGTCATGTTTCATAGATTGACAATCAGTGTTTACAATAGATATTAATACACGCACGGACACCCTCACACATTCCACAGAAAACGCACGCAAACAAAAGATACAAGCGTTGTCAAAAAGATATAGATTCAAAAGCTAGAATTATTCAAAAATAGAAAAGAATTGATGACAAGCGAAAGAGGTAAAACAAAGGCAGAAACAAGAGAGATAGAAAGAGAGAGAGAGAGAGAGATTATTTATGTGCGCTAATATGTACATGTACGATAGTGCGTTAGGATTGCATTATTATGTGCGATTTGGTAAAAGTGGTTGGTTACGGACTTAAAATTAAATGGTAAATTCCTGAAGTTATATAACTAAACAGCGATCACTAACAACACTAAAATTAATCAATGATAAAAGTTATTTTTAAATTCGACGGTTTTCGAAATAATACTGGACCTGGTATCAAGTCGCCCTATCATATATAGCTTCACACCGCAGAGAGTGACAATGTATACGGGTATATATGTGACAGGTTCGGATCCGATATAACTGAGTATATAATTTTTGCTTACAAAATGACAAATATATATATATATTAGAGTAATACAGAAGTAATGAAAATTGCATTTCCTTTCTGATGGTATGATATATCAGACGATTTATTGCCGAGACAAAATGAGACGTCAATGTATATATACTATGTGTCCATACATTAAGGCTGGCCACGTGTGGCACTTTGTAAACTAAACACTTTAAAGTGCGGGTGTATATAACTATTCTGTATCTGATAGATCTACATGTGTCCAACCTATATATTAAAAGAAAAGAAAACTCCATCTTGTCTGTCAAATCTAGTTCCAAGTAAGCTATCAGATACCATAGGCATGATACTAGAAATCCAAATAACTTACTTTTGATTAAATGAATGACTCAGTTTGGTAAAGCATCATATTTAAATTCTTCAGTAAATTTATTGAATATGTTACCAATCGATGTTCGCGAAAATCCATCTGTCAGGATAATTAAAGACTTTTTACAAAAAGACAATGTAATGATCCCTCAATATTTTAATATTGGAAGAAGAAACCTTTAAATTTTACATACAAGATTGAGGCTCAAATGCAGTAATCTCAAACAACATTTATAAGTACCTCTAAAAGGTAACCTTTTTTTACAGATTAATAATTTAAGGCGTCACTACTTATGTTAGAAATTGCATGTTGTTATTCTATTCACCACATGTGCGTTTGCTTACATGTGTTGTTGTTATGTGTAAATATTACTTTTTCATTTAATGTTGATGTTAGGTGTTCCAGTTCCAAAGATTTATATTTGCCTTTGTATGAACATGGGAAAGGAATTAATATTTGTTTTCCCATCCCATAAACTTATCTGTATCTGTCAAATTGCTGATTATTGAATAAAATATTGTTTAATACTAAAAGATTAATTAAGGAAATAGACTTAGTTGTTCTCTTATATATTCAGAAAACAAATAAGCCTTATCCCAAATGTACACGTATCTATAAGTCATTACTAAATCTATATCAACCACATCGCACATCGTGTAAAGTTGTGTGATCCCACTTCTGTATAATACATAACAAAAGTAACATTATCAACCTAGTTGCATGTCTCATTCTATTTTGTTTCCTTGATTATCAATCAAAACAGATTCTGTCTTTGTTACAGAAAAAAAAAAAAAAAAAAAAACGAACGCGTCTGAAAGTATTTCTTAATTTAGTTAAAAGAAAGCTAACTTTTTGACATTTCCACATGAATTATCGGCTATCTAACGTAGAAAGGGAAGAGAGTGAGTAGGTCGATTATCTTAGTGCATGCATGAAGGAAATTATTGAATTAGTCTGTATTGAAACCACTGTAGCATAATATGTTTCACTGTAAAAGGGATGATATAGACATCTACCTTATTCAAATGACTTCGTGAAACCATTTCCTGGCAATGTTGTCCTACCAATATAAGCTATGTTGTTCATTGCATGATAACTTTATAATTTTTTAATGTAAAATTCAATGATATTAGCGGAAAATCCATTTATTTTTCACGGCAGTTACCACAGACCATGATATCTCATAAAGGTTTTTCTTTTCACCCTTTTTTTAACCAACCCTTTTTAATGGCAGATGACAAAGAATGATATTCCACTGTTTTAACTTGATATATTCGAATAAACCATTTGAAAGTGTAGAAAGTATTATTATCAATTTAAATCTTCTACAATAATAAACCTTTTGTTGTATGTACCAAGTCTTGTAAAATAGTGTATTCAAAAACAGTCAATTTTAATCACAATGAAGTTTTCTAAATAAACTTTTCCAGCGGTTTACATATCCCATCGCTACAGTTAAATGCCTGAATGAATTTTTACCATTGTAATGAGATATTGAAATTGTGTCTTTAAAAATGATTACAACTTTCAGATGGAAAGCGCTGACTGTTCACACCCAGAGTGTTCGGAAACTCAAGTGTGCGTCGGCACCAAAGATGGCAGACATATTTGTATTGATCAAGGTATATATTTTTCGTTTTCGTATGTTTGATAACTTTCGTTTTTGAACTGGATTAAAACACACAGACAGTAACTTAGGACATGATTGATATTTTATCGGCAGATAACAGAGACACTGACGTATCTTCATATTGAAAACATTACGTTATAATAAGTAAAACAACTCGTAGGCAAGTCTCTGGAAGAGAAAACAAACATGATATACAAAACATATCGTTAGAGTGGAAAGTTCAAGAAAACTAAGGTAATATCATTCATTATTTCCCATGAAAGTGAATTGCACTTCCTTCGGGGAGAAGATTGGATTGACTTCACTCAGGATTTCAGTCTTATTACTTGTAAAGACACAAGAACACGGTGTCCATGGAGGACGGAGCCACTTAGAGGGCGCTACGATTTCGCGTTGAGTGTTGGCATCACCATACTCCACTCCACCTGGTTATATTAGACTGACATCAGGCTTACAAGTTATACTGTTCATTTGAAGCTAAGCAGAGTGAAGGAATTTTATAAATCAGTTTGTCGCGATCAAGGAACTGAATCAGTGACCGTCTTCATAGGGTCTAAAGTGAATGGCTATAAAGATCTCAATCTGTTTCTTCTGTGAAAATAAAAGTAGAACAAACATATGAAAGGCTTGGTGAGTAACGACTCTTTATGTCAATAAGGAAAAAGGACAGGTAGATGAAAGTTTTGTTTTGTTTTTCCTTGTTGGAGCTTTTGATTTTTTCACACTATACAGAACAATATCTCTTAACAAACTGAAGGACTTTGTCTCCATTAGTAGTAAAGTCAAGCCGACAAGCGTATTTTGATCAATATTTCGAAGTGTGACTTCTTTACGTGCAGTTGAAGTTCCATCTCTGTTTACTACGTCGTTACAAACGGGAGAACTCAATGCCTAAGAAATGTTATCATTAACTATATATCCATGCCAAACACCTTTAATTTATTTATTTCATTAAAAATTACAAATGGTTAAAAATTGATGTATTGATAAATATACCAGAAATCATTTTAGCTCAAAAATAATTTTAAGTTGTAAAAATATTGCCAATATTTGTAGTGATTAGAATGGCTAATTGTGGTAATATTACAGATGTATGCCCTGATGACTCCTGGACTGCTTACAACCGGAAGTGTTATCTTTGTCTTAGAGATAAAAAGAGCAGAGACGCAAGCATGGTAATTTAATTGAAATGTCCAAAAAGCTCAATGTTATCAGGGACATCAAATATGTATGTGTGGCAAGTAATGATTGCTAGAAATGCATGTTTGATGAAATGACAGTTTTATTGGTGTTCTTATACGTACCCATATAATTTGTCACGCCTTTTAATTTCATAATCTGTTCCATTGTACAAATATCTATTGATAACACAAAAAGTGTAAAATGTCTATTGAATATTTTAGGCCAAGAAGTAATATTTACAATTATTCCAAATATTACCAATGTGCAAACAATGCAATGTTTTTATATCGAAGCATAAAAAAGATAAACGTATTTATGTTTTGTACAGACAGCTTGTAGAAAGATAAATGCCACACTTGTGAGAATAGACGATGACGGAGCGAATTATTTCCTCACAAATTATACGCAACAACTTGGTAAGAGTCCATGTATTTGTCTTTTATTCGTAACATGTTTACCCCTTGCTACTCGAGTTACTTATCTTATTGTTTAACGTTATGGTCATATAAAGATGCTATTAGTAGGCACTGATATTCAACATGTAAATAAATATATATCAAATATCATATCATGATATTCAGTTCAACAAACTGTTCTTTCTCAACAGTAGCGTATTGAGGGTGAATATATGAAATAAAAGATATCTATTTCTAAAAAATGCATTTAATATTAGTAAAATTTCATTATAAGATGGTGTCTTTTGTTGATTAGGGTATCTATCATTGAGCTGATTTCAATTTCCTTATCGTGAATTTTCCGTTTTTGGATAGTAACAACATCCATGCATCCCTAATCTAACGCGCTTACATGTCGCAGGTAATTCGATATTCAAGGGCTTGTTCCAAATATTACGATCCTCGTGCATCATGTCAAATGAAAGAGCAACTCAAGGCGAAGGGGTTCAAAAGATGCAGATTTCTGAAAATTATGGGGAAGTTTTACGTTTGTCATGGTGGTATCTTTTTATGAAGCTGGACGTGTTAGATGTTAGCTGTTTTGCCTGTTGGTTGACGTTTACTCTTCTTTGAGCCCTGGTCTACGTGTAATTTAACACGAGTCTCCTTATTAATATTATTATTTATTAATATTGAAATTTGATTTTGATTATGTCGGTTTTTCCATTATCTAAACACAACAAACAAGGTTTATATCTCGGATGTTGTCGATAAAGAAAATAATTTGTACCGTTTCGACATCTAGCGTCATGAAACAATTTCAATTAAGAAGAGAAAAACTTACTTGAAATTATCATCATAGCTGTCTTGAGTACAAGTACATATAAAGTGAGGAGGGGCCACATAGATATACACCCATTCCTGGAAAATGGTCAAATGACATATCCTCAAAGATTGTACAATAGATACACGACTGAATATCATCTTAGAGTTAGATACAGTAGAGGCAAACAATGAACTGCATCCTACTTTTAGGACTCGTCAGTGATGCTAATGGCCTAAATGTAGCCTTTAGGCAAAAACAAGTGCCCACCAAAATCCAATTAAGTGTAAACCCTGGCAATGTTATGCCATGGTGTGAATATGAACCACGTCATTTCAGGTATCTATGAGATATCTAGTATACTAACTAGTAGTAAAGGAAAGGATGGAAGCACGCAAAGACAATGTGTTTACTAAATACACTCCATTGATTAAGGGAGACAAGAATCCCAACAGAATAATAGAGGTCATATCAAATACGTTTCGTAGTAATTTTCTTTACAGAAATAACTAAGTTTTGGCTGGCGGCAAACGACAGGGATGAGGAGGGCAAATGGATGTGGGGTCCAGGGGATGAAGTGCTTAATGCAGACTGGAGATCAGGTGAACCTTCAAACAACTTGGGTGAGAATTGTGCCGTGAAATCTACAACATCTGAAAAATTAAGCTGGATTGACGTCAGTTGTAATGACTACGCACATGCCGTGTGTGAAGTTCATTACAAAATTTTGCCGTAATTAATGCTTGTTGTAGATCATTAATCTTGTTGTAGATCATTAATCTTGTTGTAGATCATTAATCTTGTTGTAGATCATTAATCTTGTTGATCTTGTTGTAGATCATTAATCTTGTTGTAGATCATTAATCTTGTTGTAGATCATTAATGCTTGTTGTAGATCATTAATCTTGTTGTAGATCATTAATCTTGTTGTAGATCATTAATGCTTGTTGTAGATCATTAATCTTGTTGTAGATCATTAATCTTGTTGTAGATCATTAATCTTGTTGTAGATCATTAATCTTGTTGTAGATCATTAATCTTGTTGTAGATCATTAATCTTGTTGTAGATCATTAATCTTGTTGATCTTGTTGTAGATCATTAATCCTGTTGTAGATCATTAATCTTGTTGTAGATCATTAATCTTGTTGTAGATCATTAATCTTGTTGTAGATCATTAATGCTTGTTGTAGATCATTAATCTTGTTGTAGATCATTAATCTTGTTGTAGATCATTAATGCTTGTTGTAGATCATTAATCTTGTTGTAGATCATTAATCTTGTTGTAGATCATTAATCTTGTTGTAGATCATTAATCTTGTTGTAGATCATTAATCTTGTTGTAGATCATTAATCTTGTTGTAGATCATTAATCTTGTTGTAGATCATTAATCTTGTTGTAGATCATTAATCTTGTTGATCTTGTTGTAGATCATTAATCTTGTTGTAGATCATTAATCTTGTTGTAGATCATTAATCTTGTTGTAGATCATTAATCTTGTTGTAGATCATTAATCTTGTTGTAGATCATTAATCTTGTTGTAGATCATTAATCTTGTTGGAAAATGCTAATTTTTTAAATGATTTTTTTTTGTGGGGAGGGGGGGGGGGGGGGGGGGGGGGGGGGGGAGAGGGGGGGGTTAAATATTGAAAATACATTCATGTGGAATGTTGATATAATCATGGTCGTTAACAATTTCAGCAAACATTGTGAAAACAAGAACAATACTTCACTGTGTGTTGAGGATGAAATAACCATATAGTAGTCAGGTTTGAAAATATTGAATTAAGTAGTCATTTTTCCAGATGACTATTGAAATACGCATAAAAAAGAGGAGACAAGTCCTCCATTTTCCAAGCAAGGATATCTTTCATTTTCTGCTATAGAGAATTATAGACAGTACAATAATACCTTTGCGAACCTTCAGCAGTCTTTTTCCTCCGGCGACTAACATGAACATTTACTAGACCAGAATACGTTATGATATGCATTGCTTTTTCCGAGTTTGCCGTTGTTATCTGTCCATGTTATAGAAATACCCATTGTTCGTTCATCTCTGGTTTTACACAGGTCGTGGTTGACGGACTCCTCTACATTTCTATTCTACAATTGTGAATTTAAATTTTTTAGTTGATGCATAATAACAGGCTTGCATTTCCAACCTATATTAAAGTGTATCTTTCCAATATCAAGACATGAAACAAGAGAGATGAATGTTAGATTTAACGGTCGTCGTAATGATCTGACTGCAAAAATATTTTTTTCTATGTGCGATATGAAACTGGACGTGTTTGATACGGATTAATTTGTCTGATGGTTTCGTAGTTATTTACCTTTTTCTCCTTTGGAAACGTTCAAATGTACCTGGTTGACGTCGTATATGGAGAAGACGCTTTTCCTTCCGGAACGCTTGGTCTTTTCGATCTTTTTCATTTGTTGTCGTGATAACAATTCTTTTGTTCGTATGTTGTCATAGTTTAATAGGATTTGTGTTTGATTATATATTACGTTGATATGTCGTTATTTTCTTTTTTTTATAGCTATGTTTATTTCTTGAAGGAATCCGTACGTAGTTTTGACATCGGAGTTAAAAAATACCCTTCTACACGAATTAAATTATTGATTCTTATATGCTGAAGCCGCATCTAATAGATTTAACTATCTCCTTAAAAGGGTGCAGTAACGCTTGGTGCTTTTCTAGTATTTTTGTGGAACTTCTGCATACTTCATCAACATAACAACCCGTTTTATTTTTGTCTTCATTTAAATAAATTGTCTGTAGATGCTAGACAGTGAATGTGCTTTTAACATTGTTAACAGTTAGATAAAATGCATGTATCTTAATTGTAAATGTTTCTTTCAAATGTTACAGAAACTACTGATTTGTTTACATTTTAACGCAAACGTGCGATGTTTCTTATAGTAGACAACAGCAACGCCGATAGCGACGTCAATGTCAAATGGTATCTAAGCTCACAAAACGTCATGTTTCCTCGGAAGTGTTGTCACAAAGTCAAACAGCAATATCCAACACGGCAAGATACTTTAACTCCGTAGTGGTGACAAATAACACATTCCACGCTACTAGACTACCTGAGAATCAACCAGGGCAGCAACATCTAAATCACCTTATTTAACACACACACACCCTCACACACCCTCACCCTCCCACACACACCCACACCCACCCACCCACACACACACACACACAAACACAACCTCACCCTCCCCCCCCACACACACCCTCACACAAACACACCCTCACCCTCCCACACACACATCCTCACCACCACACACACACACTCACCCACCCACCCACCCATGAAATTGTGAGTTTATGTATTTATCTGATCATGGAGTTTGTGTTTCAGTCAGAATATGTACTTAGTATTGGCGATGGAATCCGAAAAGTTGTGACATTGAACGTTGGGCAAATATATGATTGTGATATGTAATAAAGTGGAATATTTTGTAAAAAAAATACATCCAAATTCCGAGAAGAAATATAAGGAGGACACAATCTTTAAAAACAGCTCATCAAACATGTCACAAAGACTTTGTGAAGTTCTTCAGGTTAAGTGTTAAGCTATATTGATTTAATACAGTGAAAAAATACACTTTTGCAGATTTAAACCAATGAGAAGAGAGAGCACAAATCATCTTATAAAACTGACAAATCATAGAGCATGTTACAAAAACACAAAACCAGAAACCTAAAGGGGTTGATTACTAGTTAGACGACCTCCAATTTCAATGTAAAGTTTTATTACCATGAAAGTCAACAATCAATGCAACGCAGATTACCTTAGCAGAGATCAGACCCAATTCCTGCTCGAATATCTTAAATGTGGAGCTAACATGTTAGACATTTCAAGAAGGTCTGTGTCTCCAATACCGACAGCTGTAGGTTGTCGCCATTTTGCAGTTGAGTAGTTACTTGTCACAGATTAAAGTCTCTCTGAATGTTTTATAGCAAATGTTGGTTGTACATGTATGTGAATATAAAAATTAATTTATATTGAAACTTCTTTCTGTGATCTTAAATTTATTACCGTGTTTACATATTTTCACTGATTTAAAAAAAAAACGGACTATATTTTTTGACACACTTGTGAAATATATAGGTTATTACTGAAGACACTGTTAAATAGCCTCTTTGTTTCAATAACAAGATTTTTAAGCCCCAATAAATGCAACTTTTACTGAAAAAAAGATATAGAAAATATATGGTATCAGTAACAATATATTACAAATGATTTCATGTTACATATTTGATAGGGGACAGAGAGTGAACTTAGATGGATACATATCCAACAGTGAAATGATACAACCAGGCGACCCCAGGGTTCAGTTCTAGTCCCTTATGTTATGATACATGTCATGATATACACTTTGTAGTAAAGCTATTTGATGATGACACATCCCTATATGGTCTATTTCAGGGGATCAGACAAGTTGCGGCTGATATGCAAATTCATGACCACAGAAAAATTGCATTCTGGGTGGTAGATGGGATGTTATTTTAAGTAATATAAAGATGGATCTATTACAATTATCTAGGTGGATTGATTCCAAGATGTTGCACTCTGCCATGTATTGTAACATCTTAGTTATGAAAATGTTATTATCCAGAAACATCTGCCTTTAATTTTTAAGAGTCATACTAATTCGTCTAACCATGTAAACTGTAGCTATGAGAAAGCATACAAAGAAAGCCAATTTTAGAATATGCTGATATATGTATAGATAAACTATACAGTCAGGAGGATACAGTTCAGTGGTGTCGATCCAAATAGAGGCAATACATGAAATAATGATTTGAGGCGGGCACAGTTCATACAACCCTTTATAATGAGTCTGACCTGGTTCCACTAGTAAAACGAAGACACTTGCATCAAAATATCCATTTTTCAAGATTTTTTTTTTAATGATTGATGTCCTTACGTAATTGAATAGGTCCAATTTTTTTTATCAATAATAATACTGATCATTATAGATTTGAAGATATACCCCATAGCAAGAACTCAGTAATACCAATTTGTTCAAACAACATAATCGGAAAGAAATACTCATCTTGTCTGTTTTCTACTATGACATCCCTAAATGCTATAAAAGGTATTTTTGTCACAACCAGTTACCGATCACCTATGCACTAATAGTTTTAAATACAATGGAAACAAAAAGATAAGTATAGGTCTATTTCAACTAAGAAATTCAGCTATTATTCTGAATTCTGATTTTTGTACTTTCCACTTAGTCAATGCAGCAACTGGAAATTACAAAGTAGTTGAAGACAAAACACCATTTAGTTAAAGTATAAAACATATACCATGACTTGAAAGTAAGTCAGGACTAATTTCAAATCGGTGATATCACAGTCACAGGATACGAAATATATTTATCATGAACAGTCTTACAACATGTAGTTCAAAATTATATTTTATTTCCTCAATATTTTTACCACAGAGACATTCACTGACGCGCTTCAATCAATGTGTAATAAACACGATAAACTATGATGCAGGAAATAAACAGCTCGTGATAGTGGTGTTTCTGTCTACTAATCCTTTCTGGTGAAAATTTCGAATATCTAAGCAACATCTTTATACAAATATATCTTTCTTTAATAACGAACAACGTTTCTGAAATCAAAATATTAGAGACCTCGGTAACATGACATTTTTGAGTTACCTCCCTTCCTATGCCTGGTTTTAAAATGAGACATTTCATGTTCAGT